GGAACTAGGAATAGTAGTGAACATAGTGTATGGATTGAGAAGAATAGACAAATGAAAGAAGACTACTGTATTTATAATTAGTCATATTGAAATCGAGGTTAGTCTAATTGTGAAGCTCCACACAACCATACTTTCTTATTTTGCCAGGCGGTTTTCAGTAATGTAAATAAATTTCAGTTGATAAGTACTTCTCAAAAGTGGTTTCTCACTGAATTCATAAGTGTACAAAATTAGGAACCTCGGGTAAATGTATAAATGCATATATGTGCCTCACTGTTTTTGTTCTAAACAGTTTAGACAAAAGAATAAAATGACATAACTACTTCGATTGAGCATTGTTTGTTGGAAATTCTTACTAAAAATTCGAATGGATTTCGTAATACTCATAGGTGATGAAATATTATGTTCATACAAAGATTATTCCTAGTCGTTAATAACGTTATTACGTAAGACGTCTTCTATCACATTTCGACTTGGTATTATGTTCTACTTTTATTCTCTGTTATGTAGTAAGTTCTGGTATTCAGCAACGATTACTTTAGTTAACGACTATAACTCGGAATTTCTCATTTTAAATGTCATGCATTTATGAATTTCAGATAAATTACCTCGTTTCGTAGCCCTAAGTGTTGTAGATCACCAACGTAGATGATCTGTGTCGAATGATTGGGGACCTATTCGAGTCAGACGGCTAAATTTTGAAGTCAATCCTCACGGTTAATACATAACGTGGATTACCCTTTCGTTGTATCCAGGTACTATGGATACCTCGATGACCGTACAATACAAACAATATTATTACAGAAATGTATTAGTAAGAGTAGGTACAAGGAACAGAGTGCGGCCACTGCTGCATGGGCCAGTCCAAGGCGTTCAATTATCTGATAATCATTGACTCGACTGTTGGGTGATTTACTTAGGGTTCAGTGACATCTCGATTTGTTGACCGAAGCAAAATCTATTTAGCTTCACATCGTCTCATCAAAAAATTGCTAAATAACATAAACTAGGATTTCATTAAACTATATAGTATTCTCATTAAGGTGACATCATAGAGTGCGGAAGATCTTAAAACAAACGTAACGAATTTCTGACTTGTTTCTAGCCCATCAGAAAACAGCTTTTAAAAATGGATGGTTAATGAGAAAGAAAGCAATAATACTGCAAATGGTAAATCGATTTTGCCCAGTTAACTGGTTTATTTGTGTTTCCTACAGGTTATTCTGCATGTAAATCCAAACAACAATATATCAGCACTTCCTAATGTATACAGTGTGTCCGCATTTCCGAACGATTTAAAGAAAAACAAATAGAAAGCGTTGTGTTCGTGATAAGAAATGTCATTAGGTTCGTCATTTTTTATTCCAAATCTAATTAGTCTCTCCAAATTGTAGAACATTGTATGACTGAATTTCGGAAATTCAAACTCGGGAGCATATCATAGTAAGTTAATTCACTACTTGTTTATTTAGAAAGTTATGGTTATAAGAGCGCGAGTGTTAAGAAAGTTGTCAGTTTTATAACTCCTACGGATTTTCGTTATATACACAATGACTGGAGTTTTGTATTCCTGTATTGCTTGTATTGTTAGCTTTTGTCAGACGCCTCAACTGTCACTCTATACTCTACTATTCCTTAACCATTGGCAATTAATTATCCACCCTCTGTTCCATTCTGTACCACTTTTGTCTTAGTTGTATATAAAAACAATTCTCTACTTGATGTGTGTTATTATCTGACAATTCATGTGTGAAAATTCATGTATTTTTGAGTTATGATGACTTACGGGACCATAGAGAAAATATCTGCTTGCTAACTTCGTCTTCTGATTATACACTAGGTTGGGAGGACCTCGAAGACCAATAGGCGTTAAGATCTAGCTCGTTTTTCGTCGGTCACTGTGTTATTAGTACAGCAGAAAATCATCGATCCTATAGGCGATATAAGCGAAACACTCAGTAAGTGAACGTGATAATTATCTGGCTTTATATTAGGTAACCTAGCCATGTGGGAGTAAAATAGGAAAGTCATTTTTTATGATTTGCAGGTTATATTTCTAAATAGTAAGGTTTGAGTAAATAAAATACTGTCTTCATTTGCTTAATTATATTGGGAGTCTAGTTGCAATAACAGGCAGTTTTATTGATATTAGGTTAAGTGGGACAGATATGCTTAGTGTGGAACAACGTGATATTTTTTACAATTTTGTCTTAATCGATCCTTATGATGAAACTTAAGGCAGTAAGGTAGATATTGAAACAATGACATCCAGAATAAATAAAAAAAATACTTTGATCCACTAGAGTTTAGAAATGATAAATTGGAAATTCTGTGCCTGATACCGATATTTCAATATAATTTTTATATCCAGACTTCATTTACTAAGTTATTTGAAAGTGCCTTACCCTGCGAAGTGCACCACTTATTCGGAAAAACATAAGTAGTATGTAGCAGAAATTCGAAGTAGAATGCTTACCATCAGAAGAGTAAAATAAAGAGAGGAGGAATGAAAACAAAGAGCAATCGGAATAAGAACGGGATCGGAAGAATGATGAAGTATGTAAAGGACAACCGATAGGACACATGTGAGTGGTGTATTTGATGTACGATTTTCATGTTTTACAAAGGCACTGTGATTTTTCATAAAACAGTTAATTAGTTTACCGTACCTGAGTTTGTGTTCACTACAATTCTAATCCACAGGAGGGATCGATTTAGTCTAAAAGCTTTTTGCTAACTGATATACGTTAGAGTGGAGAGCAGTCACAAAAGCTGAAACTTTTCCCAACTATCGCCATTATTTCCATGTATTAATATTCTGTAAGTAATGCAAGCGAATTATTCATTTTGTTTACCTACCAATTTTTAAACATAAATGTTTTTGGGACATGTTATGTTACTGAATAGTAACTAGTAGTTTGACTTTTCTTTGGTCATTTAAAAGTTTCCAAAGTTGTGTAAAACATATTTTTATTAGGTTCTGTTTAATATACACTAGGAAACGTATGTCATGCTGAAAATTAGACAGGATCACTTTAATTTTATTATAAAAGTATCCATTAACTCGTTTAAATTACAAACGATCATATAATTAGGCAACAATAATTATTTTGTCCTGTCAAATACCACTGTCACATTTCACATTGGTTCAAGTAAAAAAGCGTGCTGTGAATTTTTTGAGGATAATTTAAAAAGTTAACGAAAAACGATGATCGGTTTCTATAGTTTTTCCTTCAGGATAGCCATGAGCAGGTAAAGAGAGTAGAATTATCTGGATTAGAAAAGTACATTGCTCAAACATACCTATAAATGATTGTCGGTTGTGCTTGAAGTCAGTTATTCACATGAGGATACTTCCACGAATTTTTAGTTACAGTTATAGTGTGTATTTACATCACGTTTTGTAATGTGACAACATTTGGAAAATTCATTTTTCAAAGCTAAAGGTTGGTAATGGTCTTAGATACAAGGGTTTTAGGTAATGATATTTTACTCCATAAATATAATTAATCTAAAACATCATTTTGAGAGTTTTAAAGTAGTTGTGGTTAATAAAATTCATAGTATCTGCGATGTTTCCTCAATGCTGACCTGAAGTACCATATAAATGTCAACCGACTTATGGCCAAATCGTCTTTACTTGAATATCTAATTAACACACCAACAGTTGAATCACCTTTGCTCATTATTTTGAAGGTAATTTTCATCGCAAACTGACACCATTTGAAGTATCACTGACAATCAGGAAGCACTGGATTGCTGTTCCTTCTTAACTTGAGAATCCTAAACTGATGAATGCCTGATCTTACACAGCATCGGTTCCAGTACACATAAGTCTCCCAACACGTATTTGCTACCTACAATGACTTGTTTAAACCATAGTTTATGTTGCTTACACAACAGTACCTTCTCGGTGGCTGGTTGTCTGTTAGTTAGTAACATTTTATTAGTATCATCCACTACTAAGTAGCGATTAACTTAATTCGATCTAGTTTGAAATATGGCTAATAAGCTAAATGATGTCAAAAAGATTACGCCTGGTGGGATACGTTGAGAGTTACAGCTTAAGTTTTAAGGATAGTGAAAATTCGTTAATAATCTTCCAGAAAAATGAAGGCAGCTTTAAAAAGTTAGTTTCACTAGCTGGTCACGTGATAGTGCCAAATATATTGTCTAATTACTGGTCCTAACAGAAATCTGATTAACGGGATATATAACTTGGTATGTCATTTTAAATCTACCCTGTTGATGAATACAAACAAACACAACCTAGGTCATCTGTTTTCAAATGCAGAACACCAGGTGCTTTACAGTGAATATGGTTTATTTTATTAAAAGCCTTTTTCCCCTTTCCGTGGATTTAAAAAGACGTAACATATATGGTTTTTAGTATAAAAGATGAATCACAGTATCTGACAGCGGATATTTTTTTCCGATCCTTCTATCAGTCGTGAAAACAATATTCATATCAAGTGTTAATATACAAAAAAAAAGTAAAATCGAGTTATCTCAATAATTTCTTGGCAATCAACATTTATTTCTTCAATTTACTTACTAGTAAAATTAAATAAATTTGTGAAATTTATTCACATTTATTGGTTGACTTGTTAGTAACGTAGTACTTAAAATGTTCGTAAAATTATGTATTAAAATATAGATCTGTTGAATTTATTATGGAAATTAAAATCAAACAATTGACCTTTTATTTAATAGTCAAAAGCAGTGTATTTTAACCATTAATTAAGTGAAATTATGTCCAAAAGTTAGATGTAATATTTACATAAATGCCAAACGCAACTTCACACTTTACTAATGAATGTTAAAATAAGAAACACCACAGACTCAGGTACGTTTGTTTACCTTTATCATATTCGAAATCTAAAATGTCTGACTAATGGTAGCACACATGTCTATCCACTACCAAGGTTATTAACTTAACATCTGATTGGCTAATTTATAAGTGCTATATTTTAAATTTAGCCCGTAACCACCCATCATATTTTTAAAATGATGGGAAAGTACGGACTGGACGCTTAGTTATCCAACAACCTACCATGAGGAATCGTGGATTATTACGCTTTATTTTTATTTTCCTGTTCTATATCTTCATTTGCAGTAAGCATTATAAGAAAATGTTTTGTCTCAATTCACAATTCCCTAGGGTTTTTTTATATTAAGGAGTTAATTGTTTCTAATAAATTTCTGTTTATGGTCTCAACGTAATTACGAAATTATGTCAACTATTTAGGATACCTGCCATGATTTTAAGACGTGAATGGGTTTAATTTACATTCATATGCTTGTTGCAGAGCTTTTATTTAGATATTTTAGGTGAAATTATACACTTGGTTTTTACTGAATTGGAATTCATTTTATTCTTCACATAATTCATCTAACTGAATCACGAATTACTCAAATGTTTGTTGCAAATCGGCTTTGGGACGGACATGAGTGTAACAAAAATAATAAAAATATTGGATGTATATCATACGGCTAAATATGTGCAGTGTTTACAGTACGTGTTTGTTTAGCCTAGATCCAAAAATAACTCAGATGTCATATTTATTGCTCGGCTTTGGACAAAAGATATAATTCTGAGAACTACCAGGTAGCTAGATAATAGTACATAGATTTTAACATTAATTCTTCTGATCCAAAGAAACCCTTCGATTATATCGCACATGATTATCTCGATCATTGTGTAAAGAAACATGTATTTAGAATAAGGGTATTTCAATACCAGTTTAATAGTTGAGAAGCCCATTAAAACTACAGATTTATTACCAATTGTAATTTGATATGCTTATCTTTTAATTAGCGTGACTTTGAAAATATCTGAATAGCTGAAATCTGATGTAGTTAGCAGGGATGATGGCATGACGCGCGTTTCGTCTTATTTGGGACCCGTCAGCTGGACGTACCCACATCCAAGTTAATGTTCACTTTGGGACTCTCGAACCCAGTACCGTTCTGTCGAAACGTCAACGCGTTATCCACTTAGCCACTGAGTGCAGATAGCCGTTAGCTCCTCCAATGGACTGAAGTTCAATTAATTATAAGCACAGATGACGGTGACTTATGATTTAAGACAATATCGAGGCAATCATCATAGGATGCATATATGTCAATAAGAGACTGATCAATTACAGTCCTAAAGATCAATGTTAAGATTCAAACAACCAGTACAAAAATGAATACTACACTTAAGTTGAAATCAAACTGTAAAGGAAATTAGCTTTAAATTTATTGAGGCTTTTAGTTGCATGTAATCAGATCATATCTCCGAAGTTTTCTGTTATACCCAAAAAACAATACTGGAATACATTTCCCTACAGATTATCTACTGAACATTTCTTATGAAATATAAAATTGATTCTGATGAAAATAAATAAATATTGGTGCTGATTTTATCTAAATGAATTTCAGCAGTAATTTAATTTACTATTGAGTATACCAAATAGAAAGACTAAAACTACAATTTTAGATGAAAATTTCAATGCTAACAAGAATATAATTTACTTCTAATTTTGTAGTAATTCTTTCTTCAGCCAAACAGTCTACGGGAATTAAACTATTGGGATGAAACGTATTAGATTATTAATTTCAAGTTAAATCATCTTTTGTGGATGAGGAACTAACTGTAACTAATTATGTTTTCTATCAGATGTGTTACGAATGCCTGAACACTGATTACCACGACGTGCAATGCTAACCGGTGTTCCGGATGGTTGGAAGAAAGCTAGGGGCGGCCAAACCAAGACGTGGCATCAGTGCTTGAAGTCACTAACTACTAGTCTGAGCCATGTTGGTAGGTGCAGACTATTTTGTTAAGTTCCGTGTGACCATCTCAAACAATGGTTGAAGACTCTGGGTGACCTGTCTCAGAATCGACCAGAATGGAGTTGGTGTATACACTCTCTGTCTTCCCTTGAACTATGAGATTAAAACTGCTTTACATCTTTCTTTCTACCAACTAATCCTTTATTCTTGTACTATATCCTTATATGCAATCTTTCTTTTATATATTACCACCACTGAAGTGACTACTTCTATGAATCCGGTGTTCATTTTGTTGTGCTAGTGAGGTATGGCAACTTGGACCGATGCATATATGTGCCCGGTCCTACGTTGTAGCTGGCTGACTGACTAATCAAATGTGACACTATACATTAGGAGTTGGATATTCTATTTCTAATAAGCATTTGATAATTTGTATATTTCATGCGATTACTTAAAGAGATGCAAGTAAAATGCAATTCAAAAAAATTGTAAATTGCCATGATAGAAATAATTCATTCTTTTCCGTATGACTAATCGCAAAAGACATATTAAGATAGATGATAATGTGCTTCTTTGTTGATGATTTCAATAACTGAGAATTACTCTTTATCATCTATTTAGTAGACTGGAATATTATTCTTACCAAGTCATTTCAGGTGGATTCCGACAGCCTTTCTAATTTACAAGTGAAAATACCTATAAACTGAATAGGATAATTATTTAAGATCATGGTAAGCAAATAAACATTTTGTTTTACAGAATCTAAATCTACACAATCCGGTTAATGAAAATGTTGCAAAGTTATTATTATCTACTTCCAGAATTGCAAAACTTTTCCATACTTCATATCCCACTGACGAGTAGTTAATTAGAACACTGGTAGCTTAGTGGTGCATGCTTTTATTTTCTGTCTCTCACAATATTTCTTAAGGAATAGTAGACAAGTGTGTATTTGATCAATGAACTGAACAGATTTTTGTTTAGCTCGTTGTTGCCGATCTGTGTCATAAATTAATTATCTGAATGCTATCAAGCTTTCGAAATCATAACTAACTCGAAGCTGGTTGCGTAGATCCTCATATTTGCGAATTCACGAATTCTTGTTGTTTAAAATAAACTCCAAATTTAATCTTTATTACTTAGATAAATGTAAGAATTCTAGTCGCAAATGAGGATGTTGATAGAAACTATATCACAATATGATGTTCAACTGTTTACTGTAAAATTAAGAAAATTATTTAGTAACCCAAATCAGTAATCTGATATAAACCAAAAATTTTACCACCACAGGTTATTAAATATGATCCAATGTCTTCTAATTTTTCATTACGGGATACTTTATCAGTACGTTGAAATTGTATTGGAAACAAGTCACCACAACGACTACTATATAGGGTTTGTTGAGACTATGGAACTTTATGATTTTACTTGAATCATCGTTGAAAACCTGGAAGCACTGGATGGCCGTTTCGTCATCGTATGAGGCTCATAAGTGGTGTATATCCACAACCTCACATCCAGGATTTAGACTCAGTGGCTTCGGTCCTTTACACGAACGCATAACCTCCAGGTCACCGAGCCAACATTCAACGGTTGAGACTAAATGATACGATTGATCGGTTGTCAGCTTCATTTTCACTAATGGTTGGATGACTAAACTAATCTAATTATTTTTAAAATTTGCTTCTTAGTAATTAGTGATCGTACAATTTTATAATTATAATAAATAACAATACTATGTCACGGTAGAGAGAATTTTTAAACGGTCACAATTACATATCAGATACACGATCACTCTTCCCGCCTTGGGAATATTTTTATTCTTTCAACAAAACTATAGATCCAAGCAATTACTAGACGCCGTTCGTATAGCACATATGTTCTGTCAGTATTTTAACATGTTTATACCATTTAAGGTTGTCGAATTAAATGTAATCTTTTATCATCATAATGAGGGTTTGTGGAGGTTGTTGTAATTTTAATAGTTAAATTCATGTTAGTGTTCCAATTAAAAATCTGGAATTTCTTAATCTCTTCAAGTGATAAACGATTATCTAGGAGGCTACAGTTTCAAATAACTAATCTAAGCTCATTTGATATTGATTGTTCACAAAATTTCTGAAATCACTATTCGTTCTTAAATGATTTATCTCAGTCCATTAATATCACCATCGTTTATACTTTTAACGAAATACCTAGTATTATTACGAACACTACGACATCTTGGAATACGAGTAAATCCACCTCGAAATCTTCAAGACCCAAATAGTAACGGACAGCTAATCATTTTAAATAATCCTGTACTGTTTAAATTATAAAATAATAAGTCTACATGTCAGCGGGAACTCGTAATACCAATATTATCTTGATTGTTGACATAGTAATAAACTCCAGTAATACACATTATTTTACTGATATATTTAGACAGATATATTACTTAAAAAATCATTTATTACTAATAAAGAATAATGTGTATGCAGTAAAATGACCAACCTTTAGCTACACTGTTGTCGCATGTACAATAACTAATAAAGAAGTAAGCTTAATGGAAGGATAATGTTTACTGGAATATATTGAAGTATATCAAAATACATTAAATTTTAATCATTAAGTAGTAGGTGGAAATTTTCAAAACTCAATTACATTGAATTTTAATTTCTAAATATTAGTATTTCCAAGGCTCGTTATTTTAGAATAGAGCACTGTTACTAATAAATATCTATTCATTGTTAAAAATGTAAATAATGTACATAATTATAAAGCATATAGTTCATCAGTTGAAGTGTGACTCAGAACAGTTGAAATTGTCAAAGCCTTATCGCTAAATTAATATTAATTAACAGGTTTGTTTTCTAACAATGGAAGGTTGCATTCTGAATGTGAAATGGCTTTTTATGTTTGGTTGTACGTTTTTTCTATCTACGCTTTGACAGCGACATCTGCATTACATCATTAGATTCTGGTCATTAAATGATGTAGCAGATGTGTCAAAATTTTTAAAACTTCGTTCAGACATTTAACTCCAAAGATGTTATTAGTAAAAAAAGGGAGCATTATTTCAGCCCACTCACCATACTGAATATGTCAATCATTCCGTCACAGACAAAATAAGAATTCGAGAAAATATCTATTCGATCAAACTGTCGTACTTTATATTACTATGTAGTGTAGTAGTCAAGTAAATTTAAGACAAAAAATGACGTTAGAATATAAACTGTAGGATGAATATGGTTCAAAGGGAACGAATGGGATTCGAGAATAGAAATTATGAATTATTGAAAAAATTCAAGATGTAGGGGAAAATAAATGGTACATACGTCTACATCGTTGTCACCAACTACGGGTCATGTATTTTCAAATATATTGATCATTGGGTAGAAAGTTAATAATAGATATATCTTTTGTGATATCCCAATTAGCAGGAAGTTGTATTTCTGACGTTTCGTGCCTCAATGTAAGCCACTTCTTTAGAGTAAATACGTCTATTTATCAATAAAACGCATATTTATTATTATGGATCATGTAATTCAGTGTATCGAACCAAAGGTTGCAATTAACCCGGACTTCTAACCATAATGTCTACATTTTCCTGAATGAGTTGAACTGACAGTTAGTGACTTCGTTTAATAATGCAACATTTCGACCTAGCTTCGTTTAATCATCTTTGTATATATATTTACTGTAATAACAAGCGTATCATGTTGGGGTAATCGATGATTGGGTATGTGTAACATATGCCTCAACCACCACAGTTGGTCAAATTCACATCCTCGAGCAATTTCATCGTAATCCATTTGATGAGTAATAGTCTTAAGGCAACTAAAATTAAAAGTCTAGCATCAAGTGAATGTTTTCAGTCATACAGTACAATATGAAGTGAACTGCTCTGCACCATACCCCTCATTTGATAGGTATTTGGATATCTTATCTGCTCCATTGGTGATCTGAACTAAAATAAGCCACCCAAGCATTTTGTAACTGTAATATCTAATCGAACTCATATCTCATTTCAAGTAACTAAACATGTTTCGAGAAAAAAAACTAGAAATTTATTCATGTAAATACTTAATCATTGACTTTCAGAATACAAACTCTGTTATTTACCACCTAGGTTAAAGAAATCTAGGAAGAAAAATATCGTTAAGCTACATATATGCATATATATACATATACATTACACTTTCTTGATTATAATGTCGATAAATTTCTTTTGTTAATAATTTTCAAAGTGAATGATAAATAACCTCTTGTAAACTTTTTTGAAAATAGTGAGGACAAGTTTCTACTTTATTTTTGTACATATGAAAAAGTAATGATGACTATTACCTTAGCATTCTTTACTTGCCTTGAAAGACAACCATAATTAAATAAGACAAGTCAGTACCAGTTAGTTATTTCAGCAAAAAGGACATATGTTGTTTGTTTTAGTAACGATATGTGTATGTACACTAAGTAAATAATTTCCGTTACTACGATAATGATGAATGATTATAAGTCCAAACTTGTTTAAATTTTGATTTACGACCTCATATTCCATTTTTTTATGTAGATACACATTAAAAGTCACATCAGTTTCATACATTTGATTTCCAACAAAACATGTAGCCATCTCCAATGCCCAGTTTAAACGAATTATTAATGAAGTTAGTTTCTATAAGAAAATCAAAAATTCACAAATGCTAAATGTACCATACTGGTTAATTTTGTCAACAATTAAATTAGATTTTGAATAATATAGTCTTTTAACAACATCTATTGTGTTGATTAGATTAGACTGAGAAACAGTTTTAACAAAGTAATGTGGCAAAACTTTGAAGTCAATGTAAAGCTATCTCAAGTTATTATTCTATGTATTTGTATTGGAAAATGTAAGCTAACTGGCATTTTAAGCAGAGATAGATGGCGGTTAGCAATGGAATTAAGGATGTGCTTTTTGTTCTGGATGTACATGCATTCTAGTGTTCATGTTTACTCCGGGAATCATACCCATCACTGTTATCCTCAAAAGCCATCATGTTATCTACTTAGCTACTGACTTAAGGTAATACCGAAACAATCCCTACAGCATGCATATATGCTAATAAGATACGGATCAATTGCAGTGGGAAGATTTTAAAAAATCAATACAACAATGAATTAACATGTATTTTATTAAAAAAACAAGGAATCCTATCAAAAATGGTTCCAAGTGAACAGTTAGTTAGCTATATGATACACAGATGTTTTTTCTTGATGAATTAGAATGAACGTAACTGAAAAATAAAAAGAGTGCCAAGTTATGAAAAATATCTACAGTTAATGAGATAATGAGATCATTCTGTGAAATCGATAGTTTTTTGAAGTTATATTCTTTATTGGCAAACTAGTCTTAATTTTCAAGGTAAATCCAATGGTTAGGTGACATAACTAATCTAAATGATTCGTTTAATTAATGATAGTAACGCTAGTGCCACTTCTAGAGTACATTTAAACCTCGTGATATATGCCAATTAGAAACTTTGAACTGCCAACTCCATAAGACATTTTCGTGCTGAGTCCATGGATTTTGTGTTGGTAAAATTCATTCAGTACTGTGATTTGCAATAGATGTAATTAAAACCGTCAATAAACCATACCTCTTCAAAAATTACTCATTTTTTTCTGAGGTTTATGGCAATAAGCTGAAGTTGATCTTTGTCGAAAATTGATATCACTTGGAGAAACATTGAAAACTAGGGAGTATCAGATAACCGTTTCGTCTCTTAATATGAGATTCCTCATAAATGGGCATTTAGAAGTCCGTCTGAGATTAAACCTACAACCTTTAGGTTTCGTTAACTGTTGATCACTAAATTGAAATCTATTGCTGTACATTTTTAACTTATATAAATGCAAGATACAGCTCAGTATCATTCAATGCCATTAATAAGGAGTCTTTCATTTCCAACATAGTCGGATTATAACATTCACTGTATCATACAAGAATCTTGGTAATTCTTGCTGAAAGTAATCACCAATTGGCACACTACCGATGTTTAATTTTGAGGTTATTTTTATCCTTTTCCTATCATATTCTTTTGTATGCTTAGCGCCTAAATTTCTTTTTATCATCCTTGATACACAATTTAGTTAAGTAATTTGATATCGTTTTGAGATCTCCATCATATTAAAAGACTAATATTTGAACCAAGTATATTCTTTTCGATAAATTTTTCTCAGGTCCTACAATTATATATCCAAATTAATAATTCGAAAAATGACCAGGCTAAGGGCAAAGTACATCGTTTAAAGCATGTGAATTTAGGATTGTCAAACAAAATAGAATAAAATTAATGTTGATATATTAAAGATTCCCATTGTATAAACTAGAACAACACACATAAGCGAACAATTGTTTTCAATTAGATCGTCATCAGGCTTTACTCTAATATACATCAATATTTATACGGAAATGTTAAACCAATCAAGGCAATTCGGGTTAATAATCACAATTAAATAGGATAAGTCACCACACATAATAGGTAAAAATACAAGTTGATAGTAGTAAGACAGATGTACTGATAGTAGTAGGAATAATAAATATGATAACAAAAGTCTTATCAATAGTTAAACATTTGAAATAGGTCAAACGTAGGTAAATAGATTCAGAGTAGTCATCGCATAAAATTAAAATCATTACGTAATAAGAAGTGTGTAAATGATTAGATAGTGAAGTATACAAACGGAAAGAGGCGGAAAATTACAAACAAACAATGGATGTGAAAATAAGGTTAATGATAACAAAAATAAAATAAATAATAACAATAAAAAAGGTCATTTGTTAAGTTATAACTGGCCATGGAAGGGATAGGTGGGTTACGAATTTCTTCTGTACACAGAACTTGGGGTTACATGTACGGATTCCTATGGCTTTGGCTATATGTAGGAGGCAAGAACGAACTCCGTTGGGAAATGATGGAGCTATACGATAGATCACTCGAAATGCTTCCGATTTATCGACAGTATGACCGCTATCAATAAGATGTGTCAAGATAGAACTGCATATTGTTTTTTATGGCCCCTTATAAACCAAGCTGGCAGATGTTCACTCATTCGTTGGTTAAGTTGCCTGGTAGTACGCCCGATATAGCTATCTCCACGGGAGCAACTGAATATGTAAATGTACATTAAGGAGGCCAACTCAGGTAACTTATCCTTCGTTTGAGTAGACATCACTGATCGACTAGAGAAGGTCAACGCAAGACTGGCTGCGTAGAATGTCTTGCTAATTACTCTCGTTAACCTATCTTTCAGAGTATCACTAGCCACATCAACGGGGATTGCACAAGTAGTAATAAGTGTACTTTTTTGTGTAGTTTCTTTTAAATATGCTGTTTAATTATGACAATGAACAGTTTTTTTGTTAGTCAGTTATTATCATAAAACCAAAAATTAGTAAACTGAGCTTCAGATATTTTGATCTCATTAATATGTATATTTGATAGTCGTATAGGTAGTTACGATTGATTTTAATTAGTTTCTCAAGTATTTACAAAGACCCACTGATGAATGACATTCTATTTTATTAGATTAGATAAAACTGTAAGATTTTGATCGCTCTATTAAAACGAACTACCTTGGATTGATCATGATCGCAGTAAAAGTGAGGGTATTAGTCTATATGTAAGAGAATTTCTACAATATGTGTCATTCTGAGTCTTGAAACCTGGTTTGCAATGGTTCTTCGATAGATAACGTCAAGTAGACAAAATGTCCATTTGTTCTCTGCATATGAAATACGTATTTACTCAAAGTTATGCAAAGTTTTATTTAATATCTACATTTATGAAAGCTATCTTTTTTCATAAAAATACTCATAAATTACTTGTAGAATCTACATGCAACATTTTTGATGTATGTTCAACTAACCCATGCCATTCAAATGGATATTGCATTTCTTATGAAAACGGAGGATTTCATTGTCGATGTTCACAAGGTTGGACGGGTGATGATTGTTCTGTAGATGTTGATGAATGCCATTTAAGTTCGACAAATCCATGTGAACATAATGGTGTTTGCATTAATTCAGTAAGTTAATTTATTAAAATTTCATAAATAATTCATATCTTAGTGGATTATTGGTTTTATAACTCATTATTTATAAGTTAATTTCGTCGCATTTGCTTAGAGTGTTTCTTGATGCGATATCAATGTCGGAGTTTTACATGTAGAATTATTTTAAAAAGATTGGTTGTTGTCTCTTTACAATAATTTACTTATCATTTAAAAAAATCCGTACTTTACTAGCGATTACAACAAGTTACATGATCATCTCACTAGCTAACAATAGTAGATGTTCGAATATAAGGTTACTTCATAAACTTAATATATCAAATAGATCTAAACAATCCTTGATACCAACAGTAGCAATAGGATTCAGCCTGAAATATAACAACTTTCTGACTTTGAGTAATTTACATGTGATTCATATAAGTATAGTCAAACTATCGTTATAACGATTACCAAATAAATAAATTCCACTGATCATTTCCAAACTTTTGTTGTACTGCCAAGATATCTTAAACCAAGACTAAATCAAAGTTCAAAGCTCCGTTTTCAAATGATTATTTAGTTTATTTTGGTTGTCAGGTGATTGGAAGTAGTCACCTGCAAACCGTTGAATAGGGTTTTGTGTTAGTTACTACACGATGTTGAGTCACTTAGACTAGTGGGTCACATTGCAACTTGATCGATAGAAGTTGATGGGCCCCAAAAAACTAGACAAATATAACATTGGTGATCTCATTTCAATTTAATAATGAAAGCCATTTTTGGTCTACACAAAAATTTTTGTCGGTGTAAATCGTTAGTTGACTGAGTTAAACTCAGCTATCGATACCGCTTTTTTTGTTGTTACATAGAAATATAAGTTGGATAACCCTAGAGGATTTATAGGGCAGGTAAATGATAAGTAGTCATGAACGAAATTTCTGTATCATTCTAAACTGTCATATTTTATTAATTGTGCAGCTACCTGTCTTTGCAAAACAAATTAAAAACTCATGAAAAGATTTTGTGTCATCAAACAATCGAGCGTTTAATTAAATTAAGTATTTCTTTTGTTACTGGTAGATTTCCTATAAAATATTTCAACAGGCCATCGTACAAAATGGACTGTAAAACAAGGAAAGAAGTTTCCATGTTTATTTATTTCGCTTAGAAAACACGTCATTATAGTTATTTCTGTCGTATCTGTTCAATTCTATCTAACCGACTAGTCATAATCTTTCGTAATTATTGTATTGGGTACACTACTTGACATTTTGTTTATTCAGAAAAATACAATCATGTATCATACATACGAAACAAAGAATGACATTATATGCAGTTCAAATAATCATATTTTGCCACGAGAAAAAAACATCAAAATCCGGTAAAATTTTATTTTTACAAACTTATTCTAATCTTTCAAAAACGTTATTACAATAAAGGTACATTTGTGTGTAACTGTTATACTGACGAATATAAAACCGTTTTCATTAAGTTCGATTGGTTTTAAAGCGGTAATTATGGCTTAAAGTAAATCTCTACCATGATAACACTGATGTTAATAGTGCTCAGATGGTGACTGCTATGAAAAAACTTTTAAAGATCATTCAATTCGCTGATAATTTACACTACTGACTGATTTTAGGTAAAAAAAGCATTTAAACTACCTTTTATTGTAAACGATTTCCCGAAACCCTTGGTTCTAATAATTAGTCGGTTACTTACTAGTAATTAACTTCAATACATATCACCTGAGAGCTACTGTGAAGTGATGACCAGTCGATTTCAACTAAGTAGGATGTGAGATGATTATTACCAATGATAGCAGTCAATGACGATAATATTGTGAACCGAATAAAGTTGAAACTATGGATCATTAGGTGACAACCTTAATGGTATAAAGACAAATCTTTTGGTTTTAGGTCTGAATAAGCAGTGATTTTTGTCCCTGAAGGGATTGTAGTTGCATACTGTTGAAGAATCCCATAGTAGAACAAAAAGCTATCCAATATCAATAGGTTCTCAATGGTTATCTGGTTAGAATAATGTAAATTTTATTCAGATGATTATTTATTCATTGGTTATTCTGTGCCATTTGGCTTAGACTCTTATAAAACAAAATTAAATTGGAATTTATAGACATGACGCTTAAAAATATGAATCATATTTTGGGTGATGTGTATTATGTTAATTTATCTGAATGTTGATTGAAGCAACTCAGTTAATTCTCTTAAAATCAAGCTGACCATTAGTGTAGTTTAAGTTTGTTGTGTCGTCACATGATACGTGACTACCACTACCAACAATAATTAGATTTATAGTCAATTTTTAATTGCCTCTTCTTCACTCAATCTTCCTTCGGAGTTACACCTTTTCTAAGTTGATTAAATCTAAGATTCTGAGGAAATTTCTAAAATGAAAAATGAACAGTATGAATGTTATCTGTAAATACTCTAGTTTTAATCTGAAGGATCCTTTCAATAAAAGTATTCTTGCAAGCTAATTTAGTTTAAGTTTATTAACTTCTCTACATTTCGACACATTTTTTCCGAAGTTAATTATGTATACCTATTGTGATTAGATTAACCGTCATTTACTAAGAGCCTAGAGATTAAAGTTTCCTAAACTCAATTAATCCAGGAAACAACATATCCATGGAGGAGGTTTTTGAAGATTGTTGAATTTTATAGTTTACATCACGAACTGATCTTAGACAACCAGTGAAAACTAGGGAGCACTAAACGGGTATTTCATCCTAGTATGAGAAACAACAGTAATGTATATCCATGACTCCATTAGAAATGAAACCAAGGTCTTTAAGGTCTCATGACGAACATTTAAACTTTGGATGGTTTTGGAATATTACGAATCGATTGGACTTGGAAGTGTAAGCCATTGCATGATAACTCATTAGTTCGAAGGTCAAGTGTTCACTGATAGGCCTGAAAGTCTTGAGTCTGATCTCAGCTGTTCAGTGATTCCTAGTTTCCAATGTTTGTCTAAGATAAGTTTATGACAAAAACTAAAAAACACCGTATCAATTGTTGTCAGCAGGTATTTATATTCTTCATGTAAATCGTCCGGAATATAATGTTTGTTATTCAGATATTGGATTAGTTTATTAGCCAGTAACGATTAAATTTCTGATTTCCCAATTACTTAATTGAGCGAAATCTGTTGGACGATTCGAGGCTTTAAAAAATGACTATCCAATCAGTATTCTCTAATGATATCAGTAGGTGAAGAGAAATTTATATATAGATTTAAACCGCTAATTGATTGACCAGCTAGTAAATAATTGCTATTCTTCAAAAATACTTACCCATAATCTTATAGATGACATGATCCAGAGACCTTAGATCTCATAAAGAGAACTTGATGTCTTTAAATCACTGAGTTATAAAAATGTCAGTAGTCTACATATCCATGTTCAATCATTTTGTGATACATTGTGATCCTCATTCCATATATCACTAGTATAAAACTAACATCTAATCATTAGAATAATACGTAAATGCATGTGCATACGTTTTTTTTACAAGTTCAGATGTAATTAATCATTTTTGCTTACAAATATAAGTAAAATACCTTGTCTATAAACCAAACATGTGAACTAGATTTCACCTAAACAATACTTTTTTCATTATACTGTTTTTAAATAACAATTTCGACATTTTCAAAATATATGCTAGTATCATCTACAGTTACTTATAAAATAGATCATATACCATGAATTCGTTTATTCGGTTTTTAAACTTAGTTATACATACAAATGTAAATGTCATAGTCAAATAAGATTGTTGGTACATTAAAAAAATTAAATACGTCATTATTACTGTTTATACATCTGCTCCCCACATTCATTAGATTTGAAGTAACCCTGTCTTATTATGATGTCCAAATCAATAATCGACGAATTATCAATTGTGTGACCTTTAAACTAATCCACAAATATACTCGTAAGATAAGTAAACTTTAGTTTCGAAATTGACTGATTGACTGTTCGTCTGAGCCATATTGACGAGTACAGACTACCTGGTTGATGTCGGTGCGATAACGTCCATTGGTGGTTAGGGATGTCGTAAAACATGACTTGGTTTCATATAGTCCTTGTTTTACTCTGAATCTTGAGTTATAATGTTCTTTTATAAACATCTTTCCATTCTGACTTTTTGAATTACTCTTTTGATATTTATCTTTTGTGATTATTATCGCTACTACATCATTTTTTATTCTTTTATTAGTCCTCTTGTTAATTTTATATTATTGTTCTACTATGTTATAATAATTTGGGTTAACACACATTTGTGTCAGACCCTAAGTTGATTATGATTGACCAACTGATGTAAGTCTTACTTTCAATTATTTTGTATTAGAACAGGTAAAAGTCTCTAAGTTCTCTCTAGTTTTCCATGGCTTTCCAGTTTATATCACTCAGTGATGAATACAAACTTCAGCCTAATTAATTATTGATGTGAAACAAATTAATTCAAATGTTTTTATACTGGAATTAAGTCCATTAACAAGTATAACTCAAGTTCTTAGGGAACTTAAAACCAAAACTGTCTTAACGCTGACTCAATGTATGTCATTAAGCTAACTATCTGTCTTGATTATTAGATAGCATGATTGTTCAGATTTTCTTACGAGCAGAGTCTTAAATAGGGTTCATCAAACTAAGGATTATAAAATAACCGAAATTGAGTAACTTCAGATATTATATTAATCTTATGGATATTAATTATTTACAAGTGGACAATAAGATAACTGTTTTGTTTTATTGTTAAGTTTACTTTAAGCTGTGTTAGGTGGTTGGAAGCGAATAACTGAAGTTTCTTTGAATCTATGTCTCATGATAATCGGTACTAAAGGATCTGAACTTCACAACTAGTTAACATCGTGCTCAATGCAGAAATAGAAATGTCCCAAGATCCGTGCCTCATGAGTGAGGTGGTGATGAATCTTGGACTAGAGCAAAACAGTTGCCCAGTACTCCTTGGATTCGAATGATTTACTCTAGTTGATTTCTATCCTTGATGAAAGGTTGACTACTATACTATATTTTTTATTTTTAATCCTTACAGCCTGGAGGTTATCAGTGTTTATGTCCACCTGGATATCATGGATCAAGATGTGAGGATGAAATTTTAGAATGCGCATTAAATCCCTGTAAACATGATGGAACATGCATAGATTTAATCAATGGTTTTCAATGCGTCTGTCCACTTGGTAAGCATACTATTATTATTATCACCATTAATATTATCACTATTATTGGGACGTAGTACTCATTTTAAATTGATCTCATTTGAAATATAGTGGTATGAGACCACACATCAGAGCTTAACCATACTAGAACGAAAAACCTTTTCAGTTTACTTTGGTTTTTAGTGGTCTCAAGTCAATCCTTGACGAATGCTATCTATAAATCAAAATAATCTCCTCAGTATCTTCATCAAAACTACTGCTCTTAATTATCACTGTCACTATTATTATTTTATAATTTACATCACGGGATGATCTTAGTTAAGTGAAAATTAGGAACCAGAAAGCACTAAACAGATCTTCCGCTCAGTTTGGGTCTCGAAGACAGTGCACATCCACAACCCTTTAGGGAGTCAAACCAAAATCTGTGGGCCTCACAGTTAAAGCTTGACTTTCAGACCATTGGGTTGGCATGCAGTGGTTTTCATTCCTAAGTTCAAACATTTTTCGATGTTGCTGAATTATGCCCTACATAGTTGAACTCCATCAGTCACAGCTTTTCATTAGAACTCCATGAGTTATATCTCAAAATTAGTCATAGTGAGCCTACTTGGTGGTCTAAATGTTCGGCGCTCCCTGTCTTATTTCAAAGGTTTGATCCGTGGTGTGGCCATAGATTCGCACTGATATAGACTCGAAACTTTTGTATAATGCTCCGTGATTTTTATTAGAACAGCAACTGATGTTAATCCACCTACAAAGTGGATCATTATCATTTCAATCCGGAACATTATTGTGTCATATTTTACTCTAGCTATATGAAGTTTAAAAGTGCGAATATTTGATCGAACAATTCGTATTGAATAACTTCATAAATATCTTGTTACGATGGATAACATATTTAGGACCTACATAGAAAGAGCTATGATTAATTTAGTATACAACTTACAAGATAAAATCTCTAAATCTCTAGACGATAAGATTACACAATAAATTAAGTACTTCTGTATAAGATCTAGGAAACGTTTAAATAATCTATGACCAAACAACCGTTGTTCAATATTTGTTGTCATTTTATTCTGGTCAGTAATGATAAAAACTATTCTCTTTTTACTGAACATCCGGTTGGTCTTAATTCCATTTAATTTTTATATGAATATATGGAAATAAAGTCTGCGGAATTAAATTGTTTCACCTTTTTAAAATCATATATTTACAACTTTTTACACTCACGTACTTTAATGGATCTTTTTTAACGGATCAATTAGTTGAAGGTAGACAAATAGGATACAGATTGTTTTTTCCTCTAGATTCTCCATTAAAACTATAAGAAGATGAAGTGATGCACTCATTCATTCATTCATTCATTCATTCATTCATTCATTCATCATTCATTTCTTTCATCATTCATTCATTCATTCATTCATTCACTGACCCATTTAAGTATCAAACCGGATATACAACACGTCGTGTCAAATTCTTCAACCTTTTGTCATTTCCTCTTAGGATTCCTTCTTATTTTGCTCAACATTTTAGTTAGATAAATGCTATTTGCACAAAATAAATGCACACATACATGTGTAGAGTGTATAGTAGATAATATTGGTTCACGTTGTTTTATTCTCTCATCTAATTTCTAGGTTGATTTATAAAATTATTAAAAATGGAAGTGTTTATATTTGTTTGTATTCTTTTCTTATTTTATAGTCTCGATTGTAAGAATTTCCCTTAAGTTAATTTAACCGATTTCGGTCTTTATCGATCGTTTGAATATTGGTTAATAGAACCATCATAATAATTAATCATATATATGTACATACATGTAGGCGTCATACTTCCTATATTATTACATAGGATACAGTGTATAAATCATGTTACTTTCTCAGCTCTATGCGATTGAAATCATGAAAACACTTAACTGATTAGCTTGAGGAAAAAAGATTATTTCATAAGATGATATTTATTATTGAACCGATTAAATACAAAACTAAAATGGTACTCTGCCAGTATATCCCCGGTTTAGTTAATACATCTGCATACACTTACTGCTTCTTTATTTTGAAGTATTATGAAATATGAACTTCACAGTAAATGATTAATATTTAAGTCAGTCTTATGCAGTGATTAAAGTTGCCATACTTCATTAGCACAGTGAGATAAAATTTTCAGGTGAATCCAAGATACGTAGAGGTATTAAGAGCATTAGTGGTAATGAAAGAGAATAAGCACCAAATATGCAATTCGAGAAAATGTGGATTTGTGAAATCAAAAAAATTATATGGTAATTGATTAACTTCAGATCTAACTAAAGACAAGGGGTGAATGCACCTGCACTACTGTGGATGATTCGGAGGAATGTCATCCAACGTATCTAACCAGTGATCTCACTTATCATACGGACCAAAACCTGGTAGTCGCCACCTACTTAAATGGAACCATTCGACAGTCAGTGTCTTCATGGAGTGATGTGATGACTTTGTAAGGCCGCCTACAGCTTGTTTATAACTTACTCATACACCATTCATCATCGCGCGTCGACGTAATTGGTGGATGGAGATATGTAATACATATCCTATTTTTAAGTCTACGTTTCACAGCTATAAATTTGAACTGTTGAGCAGTAAATTCGTCCCTTGAGTGACTAAAGTCGCTCAATCCCTTTAAATACGTGGCAGCATTTCATGAGACACCAACCTGACAGGCATGATCAGACTTCCAATATAAGTGGATTGGTTGACGAGATCAACCACTTTACTCCTTATTACTAGTATAGGTGTTGACGCAGACCAGTCCTAAAACAACTCTCATTTAGAAGCAGAGATTAACATCACAAACATCTTATCGTTGTTTCTCAAGGCTGAAAGAAGATTGGATTTTGTTAGTGTCTTCAACAAACAGGGATATATCATCTCAGTATTCTAAGTTAATAAGTGTATCTCCTGGTAGATGACTTCCTAAAAAGTTAAACTACGTGAGTGCTATCTCTAAAAGAAAGTCCATGAAAAGCTAAATAAAAGTGAAGAAAGCGAATAACCCTGACGAACATCATCTTGTCTTATCGATTTCAATGACAGTCTGCCATAGGTTCTGACTGAACTACTGATGTTTAGGTAAAGGTCCTGTACAAGGTTTTTGTAATTCATTGGTACTCCTTTTCAATGACACACATCACTATAAAACCTGTCATCCTACGCAGTCGAATGCTACCTCAGTATTGAGAAATACGAATATGGTTGGGACTTAGTAGGTTTCGTCTGTGTTTTATAACCTCGATTTGTTATTTAATATTTGGATAATCAGATGCATTCATACATTTGGTTTATCTTATATTCTGTTTATTACTCTCGACTTATTTTGTCTAGCATATCACCAACTTAAAATTAAGTGATTTCTTTTGGTTAAATTGATAAATTTCAAGTGCTTTAATTCACTAACACTTCAAATAAAATATCTAATGGGTTAACGACTATACTGATGCCCTACCAATGTATTTTATTGATGCTAAGTTTTTTCCCTCGAATTCACACCATTTTGGCCAGTAGTCCAATATCTATATAACAATTCATTGAGTATATTACAGTTTGTCTTTGTTCAGTGATGTATCTGTTTGACTCCTATAGTGAAAACTTAAGATAATCTTTTTTCAAAGGCACTTTCGCCTCAAATAATCCACGCGTTAGCTACCGAGTCCAGATAACCATTGACTCGTTCAGTGAAAAGAATTTTAATTCATTTATATTGATTGTGGAAGATCAACACAGGGGTCCAGGCACACCCAACCGACGAGAGCTCAGTGGCATGAGATGCACATCCTGGATTCCACTGCTAACCATTATAATGCTTGTGACTTAATTGCAATGTTGAAGCGATCCACATAGGATTCGCATATGCCATGAGAGACTGGTTGATTGAAGTCTATGGGATTAATGGGGAGATTGAAACAACCTATGCAAATGAATTATCTTTATATTAATCCTGAGAAGTATCATATCTTATATTCCCCTTTATTTTCAGGTTATGAAGGTTTAACCTGTGAAGATGAAATTAATGAATGTTCGTCTTCACCATGTAAAAATGGTGCACAATGTGAAGATCTAATCAATAATTATACATGTCATTGTTTACCTGGATGGACTGGTTTACATTGTGAAAATCGTATTAGACCATGTGCTGCTAATTCATCATTATGTTTAAATAATGCTACATGCTTAGATTTAATGACAACAAATGAAAACATTGAAATGATTAATGAGTCAAATGATCTTTTTGTATGTCTTTGTCCTGAAGGTAATTCATTTGTAAATAAAATAGTGTACAAATGGTAATATTTTATATTGGTTGTACTAAACATTACTGTAAGACCAGTCAGTGCAGAGATCCGTAATTAAATTTCATAGCCATGCTGATTTTTAACTTATCTAATGCTAAACATATTTTTTGTGATATCCCAATGAGTAGAAAATTGTATTTCTAACGTTTCGTGACTAAATGTAAGCCACATATTCAGAGTAAACATACATGTTTGATTAAAAAGGTTAACGAAGATAAGGTAACTTAATATCTCTAAAATTGAATAATGATGATAATAATAATAGACGAAGAAAGGTAGTAATGGACTGGTTAAGTAGTGTTGATCTAACTGGTGAGCTTTTGGGATGTGGATTTGAAGTATGTAGAAGAAGCATTATAAGGAAATGAAAGAACTCAATACATTTACCTTAGTTTCTATAGTCAAAAAGTATAGTTAGACAGGGACTACTGTGTATATTTTCCTATTGAAGAACCTGTGTCTTAGAACATTATTATATTAAGATGAAATGGTTATTTATCAAGAGCATTACTTAGATCCCCTTAATGAAGTTCATATCAACAGCGAGGAGAAAATTTAAGGATAGTTAGAAAACTATTTGCTCAGTATAAAGATTCCTGAACGAAAATGATATTTTTTTCCAAAAAAAGAATTCCCCTAACCATAACACATTCTAGACATATAGGAGTTCATTAATGGCGTAGAAAGAGCTTACAGTTTCCTTTTTTTGCTTTGTGCTTTAAACTCTTCTTTTATAATACCCGTTTCTCTACTGTCCCATTAATAACTTCAGTATCTTAAAGTGATTTACTGGGTCGCCTAAGACAAGCAAAATGCCTTCTTTTGACCTTTGTATTCAAGTAGGTTGCTTTTCGCTTAGATTATTTCAGGTTCTTAAAGATAGCTTTCAATACAAGCTGACATTTATAAAATAATATTTGAAAAACATGTAATACAAAGTGGTTGCTTTGTTCCAGTTTTCAGACTTTATCGGTCGATACTTAGGGCTTAAAACTATTTTTACTAGTTCTGTTGTGAGAGATGGTGATATTTTATGAAGTGTTTTGGCTGTCAAGTCAATGAAACCCGTTCAATTATATATTAGTGCGCCTTAATTAAATTGTATCTCAGCATTTCATTGGTATAAGTGGCACCACTCTTAAATAAAGAACAAACACATTTATCCTACAGATGGATTAATTCATAACTCCCATTTCTCAGTGTTGACATTTTCTACTACTTCATAGTATAATATGCGTCTTAATTCTACTGAAAAACATTAACTACCTCGTTGATGAATGCTAACTAGTAAGAGACCTCATTTAGAGCTCCTTTTCAATTTACTTTCAACTCACCATCCATCAAGTAGTAAACGATTATGAAATCTTTGAATAGGCAATTTTTCTATTTGAATTAGGTTATAATATATTTTCATCCAATTAAAGATTATTATTTTTACTGAGCAAAAAGATTTACGTCAAATAAATATGGAATTTTCGTTATACATTATTATCGTACAAACCTATCTTCATGTTAATATATACATCTTTTAAAACAGAGATTTTATCCTTTTTAATTGTGTATCACTATGCTATGCTATATATATATTGGTAAAATTCAAATGACAATTTATCTTTCATGTTTCTCTATCTCTCTGTCTCTGTCATTTCTGTAACGACAAAACAAAAACCAACTAAAAGGTTTTCATGGCAAGTTATGTGAAACAAAAATAATTAATAATTATTGTACGGAGATTGTCTGTCAAAATGGTGGACAATGCAATATATTAGACAATGGTAAAGAATATTGTACATGTTTGAAAAATTATCACGGATTATACTGTGAAGTAGAAGAGAATCAAGAAGAACAAAATACAGAATTATTCCGAATAGAAAAAGACCAAATTGAAATGGTACGTTTAGAAAAAAAACTATTTATTTTTGTAAAGAGAAATAGATGGGTTGATTTTTTTCATAATTTCAAAATGAAATGACTTCTTTTCTTTGACTAAATGTAAAATTAATGGTATTTACAGCATGACAGAAATAGTAATACTAGCAATACCAGTATTGGTAGTAGTGTTAGTGAAACAAATTACTTAATATGACACGAATGTGCTTAAATAAGATTAAGATTTTAACTGATATAATGGACGCTACTCACAAGATTGCTTGTAAGCAGTATGTATGCAGCAATCGACAGGCGGAGTGAAGAGTTTCAGTGATTTGAAAGCACAGCATTGGCAGAACACTTGGAAACTAAACAAGCAGACAGTTCAGATGACAAAACACGACGAAAGATGCAAACTGAAGCGATGTGTTTGTATTATATGAATACTTTGTAACGTCTCGCTATCAATACTTATTAGTCTTGCCTACTGTCTTGTTTTACACTGCTATCTAATAACTTATGAACATTGGTACATTTAATGATTACAATATGTATGCTTCCATCATTCTAATAAGTATTTTAACTTAACGAAGTTATCAGTGTTTTTTGATCTTTATTTTTATCTTTGTTTTAATTGTCGACTATATAATAATCAGTAGATTTAGTGAATTCTCTTTTACAATAGGGAATTTCGAAAATCGGCCCAATGATCAAGCTACAAATTCACGAGTAACATGTTCAAGTCAATAGTTTTATTAGTCAATTTTACCATAATGATAGTAAATGCATCGTAAAAATTAAGAAAATTAGTTACATTTAGTAAACACCACGTAAACTCATTAGTTGAAAAACTTATCTTACGTATTAATCGTTTATTATCAAAATAAAAAGGCAACATAGATCTGTTTCAATTTTTAGCAATATAGAATTGGAATTAAGAACTGTAAAAATCATGCCATCATTTTTTTATTTCATTCCTTTACCGTAGATAATTTTTCATCATGAATTGAGACTGACTGGTGAGTGATCGTGAACATTAGACATGGTGTAAAGTATGAATAAAAATCATTTATCCGTTTGTTAATGGCTAGTTTTTTTAGAAGGAACTCTAATTAAAATTCATGGATGCATGAATTCAATCATGTCACCATCGACAGTTATTACCTATTTTACTGAACAAGAATTGCTCTGTATTAGAAATTCACTAGATCTTAAAACATGAGGATTTGCATTTTCATCTTTTTTATTTTAAGCGGCATTTTACCAGTCGTGTGACCTGATGGTACTAGGTTCGGTTCTTTGTATAAAGTTATGGCTATGCACTAATGAATAATCTTTATACAAGGACATGAAAGCTATTCGGTACTCACCAATTTCTAATGATTGCCTAGTTATTGTTAGTTTGTAGTGAAAATCAAGGGGTTAAGTTTAACCATTTCTATGGAAATTCTGTCTTTAGTTTAAGGGTTTAAACAAAATATTGTTGTTACTAAGTTTTTATCAGAGCGCCTCCTGAATTCCCCAATAATCCATTGCTGAACTTTAATAAAAATATCGTTATAAATTCCACGTTCCATTATATTGAAATATAAACTTGGCTATGATAGATTTTAGTCTCCCTAATGTTATCTAAATTTCAAAACATATCTAACAATGAGGTTTATTATGAAGGTATCTAGCTTAATGTTCGTTAAATAATCCTAAACGAATAATTTTCTGTTTTTCAATTTATATAACAGGAGACATTTAATTGTTTCAAAACACCATGTTTCAATAATGGTACTTGTCATGTACTTGGTGGCATCAGTAACTCCTCGACCATAACAATCACTAATACAACAGTTAATAGTAATAGTAATAGTGGTAGTACATTTTGCCACTGTAAACCTGGTTTCTCTGGTCATTACTGTGAAAACATACAAGACTATTGTCAACATTCACCATGTCAAAATGGGGGAGTATGCATGTTAAAAAACGGTGATAATAATAACAATACTATTAATTATTTGAATGTTGTAATAGCTGAATCGAATTACACTTGTATGTGTCAACCTGGATATTCAGGTAATCATTTCTTTTTTTATCCAATCACAAAATTCATTTTCTTGTTTCGTTAATCTCAATCTCAGCAACAACACCATCTATCATACAAATTATTTTACGATAATGTTTTAAGATTGTTTTTGAGAGATCTACCACCTTTTGTTTACCTAAATCTAACTGATTTGATTGTGAAATTTATTATTACTGCGACCAACTTGAATATCTTCATGCATACGTACATACATACATACATACACATGCATACGCAATCCCACTTTTAAAGGTATAAAATTAGAAAGAGTAACATTGTCTTTAAGAATTTTGACATAGTAATGAATATGAGGCCAAGGTGCGTAGTGTGAAGTATGTGTATGGTTTACATGAAATCGGCAATCTTTTTCGACATTCACCTAGGACGCATACATGCAAAATGCTCAAATATAAAAATAATCAAATACACTTGAGTGAATAACACATCTCTAATCATTCTTTTTATTTACATTAAAATCAGTGTTTAACAAGTTTTTAGCTTTAACAAAAGTAATTCAATTAGACAATAATTCTAAGATCTGTTCCTGTATAAAATCAAGGATCTAAACTTTTGACCGCTATTCATAACTAGACAAAATTCAATTTCCATAATATAGACTGGATTTTGTTACTATAATCTAAAATTACTCAATTGTGATGTTTCATCTAATAGTTCGTAGTAAACCCTTTAAAAATGAATTATTTCTCCTAATATTCAAGCTAAACATTTAAGGTCAACTATTTAAACCGTACTGTGAAGCACTGCTTATACATAAATGAAATTTATTTGCTTGGTGCAAGATGTTAACAAGATTGTTCAATGTTCCAATGACGTCTCGACGAAAGTTAATACAAAATAACATATCAGAAAGCGATTTGATGTGAGCAGTAACAGAGAATCACATCTACCAATTAACTACATAGAGTCTACACTTCTGGTATCGACTAATTTTTTTCTAGATCATTCCCAAATAGTTTTAATTGAGATCATGAACTGATCAATGTTGGACCACTAGAATTCCAGGAAATCTATCTTAAAGCTAGTCACCAGCGAGAACATGATTATTGTCGGTAAGAGGAGTTGCGGAGATTGTAGTATTTTCAACAGTTAAATTCACGAGTCGATCTAAGCTAGACCACCTGGAGGGCTGTTTCGTCCTAGTTTAGGACACTGTTGAATGCCGGCTCGTTGGTCTAGAGGTTCTAATTTTGCATACGAGATCGAAAGTCCTGGGTTCTGGTCCTGTATGTGGGATCGTGGATGCGCACTGCAGAGGAGTCCTATACTAGGACGAAACGACCGTCCAGTGCTTCCAGGTTTTCAATGGTGGTCTAGCTTAAATAAACTCATGAATTTAACTGTTAAAAATACCACAATCTGCACAACTCTCCTTACCGATAATGGTCTTTAAAATACTAAACTAATTTATAGGTTAATTCATTTCCTCTCACACATATAAGCTTTTCGTGAGAAATTCTATTATTACCTCATATGTAATATGATTTACCCATTTTTAACGTTAATTTCTAGTTTTCCACTTTAAAATATGGAAGATGGAAACAGCTAGAAATTAGAGATCGCTGGATAGCTGATTTTTTAAAATATCAAAGTCCATACATATATTTACTGTGTTAAGAACAAAAAATATCTACTTATCCCGTTGTATTCTTTTACATAAGCACGACACTACACCGTACTTCCAATAATTGTTCAACTATTCAGGATGTGATGTCAATTATTTTCTGATCTAGTTTACCTAATGAATGAATACTTTGTAAATCGTATTTACCTCAATTAAGATAACATTAAGAATTTATAAGCACCTGACTTATGGTTAGCTCATTATTGAGGCTATTGAGATGTGCTAATCTATGACTGTTCGGATACTCTTAGTCAGTATTTTCTAAATTACAACTTGAATTAGTTCACTATTTAAGGCTACAATCATTTAATGCCATAGATGACAACTGTTTCCTTCTTGAAATAGTTGAATTCCATCGATCAGCAATGACCGCTGAGACTTCATAAAGTTAATTCGAAATCACTGATGATTTTACTTTGTATTTTTTCTCTGCTGAGGTTAAGTAGTTATAACATTTTATTTACAACTCGTCAAAATATACTAAATTTTGTGTCAAACGAATTAATTATCTAGCCAATTAGTTTTTAGAGTACAGTTTCGTTGGACCGTTGTACAATACATCCTTAAAACTTCAATAGTGTACATTTTTATATTTGAGGCTGAAACATTCTTTAGAATATTATACATTTCATGTTTGTTAAAAAAAGTTGATTGCTTAGTTTCAAACAATCGAGTAAACTAATAATGTAACATTGAAGAATGAAATGAAACTTTCGAATAAACAAAATATAGTTCACCTACCTACATGTTAATTATTAATATTGACAATACTATTACATCGATTACAATTTGTATGTGTTCAAGATTGTTTATTTTATTTAAAATGACGTTACTTGAATATGCTGTACTGTTACCGTTTAAATTTCGTACTTAGTGATCAATGATCAATAATCACTGAAGTTAAATCGGCTAATGTTAACATTCCTATAGTAGAATGATATATATTTTAATATATGTGATCGTCGACACTATTATATTAGGTTAATATTCCTCCATAGTTGAAAAAGTGGTCAATATTATGATACATTAAATATGTAACATTAATCAACTTGTAAAATGATAAATTTCAATTTACGCGTTAAATATTATAGTTTCGTCTTTCTTATCGGTACTATAATTTAAATGTAACATGGAAAATAAGTGTTGATTTCTGCGGGTATTTGGGAATATATATCAATCAATAAAAGTGTGAGTGTTGTATGTTTGATAATTGAACATTGAATTATTTTATAACTACCTTTACTAGTAGTAATAATAATAATAACAATAATAATAATAGTTTTTTATTATTGCCACATATCATTTCATGGTTTTCCTGAAATAATGAATTGTTTTGTCTATCATTTGAATAATACTAAACCATAATGAATTCACACGCCTTAAATCATTTTAATCTGTTCGTTCTTTTCACTTCATAATAAACTAATTTTTAAAAAAATACAAAGTTGTTTTAACATAGTAATTAGTAGATTATCCGTACTTTCCACAACAACAGTCACAACAGTAACATAAAACGAGTACATATAGATAATCTATATAAATTTAAGTTCAGAGATAAATAATTCACTTTATTATGTCTATGAAGTGGTTGTATTTTTTTATATTGGCGCCTCAGAAAAAATAAGAAAACTCTCTTCCTTTTTTAACGGGTGGTGGTTGGGGTAAGTAGTTGACCTAACAAGGAAAGTAGAATGGTATGAATATTTTTTCAGTAATAGAGTCAATATTTTCTTTTTCAACAAGATAACGGAGAGAATGAAATGAGAGGGAAGAAAAAGTCAAAATAATGCTGGTCATAATTACTTTTTTTTAATCAGATATATATTACTGTGAAACAATTCACTGATTATATACAAATCATCAGATATGAAATAAACATCAGTGAATTAGGATTTAAAATATATTTATTTATTTGTATACACAGTAATAAATATCAAGGTGACATCCTTTTTGCTATAAAAAAAAACAACATACTAACTTATTTATATTCTACCGCAACCTTGTAAGTAGCCAACTAGATTTTCATACATCAATCCGCCTATCCATTTGTGCATGCGTTTATGCATGTCAGTGTATTCGATTTCACAATGTAAGATAATTATCTCGTTAATACGAAATTACAATTCATGAGAAATCTATTAATGTAAAGTTTGCGTTTAATACTTTCCTTAACTTGTCGTTATTTATTTATTTTAAAAAAAATGGTAAAACGAGATTATTTTGTTTATTCCTGCTTTTTTTTTTGAATAAAGGTATTTTTGTTTACAGAATGGAAACGGGTATCTTTATACTGTTTAGACAAATATTGTTGTGGTACCTATTTGTCATATGCATATATGTTTGTAATATATATATTTAACAATAGACACACGACCAAAATGTAATAGTTGTTGGAGAGAATTATACTTATCATTTGTTGCGTTTCCGATACATGGTATTGTTTATTGTCTGTAGCTTATGTGTAAACAGTACATTTCTATCAGCATAACGGACCTGTAAAGATTGTTGAGTTTTGATAGTTTTCAGTATGGATTGACCTAAGCTAAAAAAACCCACACTAATAATAATCATGCGTTCACTAACGTTCAGTTTTGAGAAGTAATTTCACTCAGTTATGGTTAGAGGCTATAATCAATAGAGCTCAACCATGTATCCACCAATAATATTGGTATTTAGCTGCGCAATTCGAGAATTGTTTGAAGTTAGTAATGGAAATCATTGGATGTCAGATCACTGAGTAAATTGAAACTGGAACAGTTGACTTGTAATATTCATCTTGAATATTTTATGTACAAGTATGTACGTAAGAGCTTTAATCCCTTAAAAAGGACGCAGTTTAGTAGTCAGTAGTTTTATTCTCTAGCAGCTAATCCATTAGGATTTATGAGGTCGGTTTTTTGGCAAATTATCAATTAATGTCCAATCCAGTTATTTCTGAAATCTTATCAGTCAATTCTCTCACCATAAGAGAAATATTTGGATTCCAAAATCGGTGAGACTATAATTTATGGACGAACTTTGATCGACTCTAAAGTGACCTTGAGAATGTTCATCTTTTAACTACGATTAAATGAGGGTCATAAACCAATGTGAGGAATTAGAATCATGATTTACAGTTGATGGTTAGGGCTGGGAATTAGACTTGGAGATTTCCATCAGGAATTGGTATATACTATAATGTCAAAACTCTATTTAGTCAAATGGATCAGTGGATTTTGCGCCAAAACCCAAGACTGTTATCTCATACGTGATTGGTTTGTTCATAAATTATAGTCTCGCTCGTTTGAGGATTATTATGATTGCTTGATATGAAGTAATCATGACAAATCAACAAATGTTTCTTAAGATGATGATCGATTAATCAAGAGAGTTGTATCACAGTTTATTCATTCTATTTGAGACTTACACTGTATATTCCATTATCTTTTCTGTTTAACGAATCTTATTATATTTCAGAATTTTTAATCTTATACATTTTGCATAATATCAAAAATTCATCATCCACATGGATGTATAATTAACTTAACTGATACAATGAGTCAGTCTCGTAACTTTGATATTATGAAAAGTAAAAGATCTCATCTGAATGTCATCTTCATCTTTATGACTCATATTGAGCTATGTTCATAATAACAATAATAATATATGTACTAATAATACTGATTTATGAAATGTATTCAGACAACAGTGTACATTCTTTATTAATAGAAGTACGACCATTTCATATTTTATGTATTTAGTCAATTAATATTAATGGGTGTATGGTTTATTTATGATTTATATTATTTATTACCTTATTATATATAAGTATACTTATCCCATACATTATCCTCATTCACACATGTGTACACATCCATCTTATACAAATATATATACGCACAAGTGAAAAGTATTTCCATTTGTAATCCTCTAAATTAAAGGTTTATATTTAATATGAAATATTGTGTAAGGCAATATCGAGGTATACGCACAGTAAGCACATATACCAATAAGAGACTGATCAATTTCAGTCATAAAAACACCAATGGGAAGATTCAAGTAAAACAATACCAAGTGAATATATATATTTGGCATAAATATTTAACGTTAAAATACTTAAGGAATTTTTTATTAATAATTATTTTTAACACATCTGTATCAGAAATAGTTTCAAATAAAAACTGCTATTGTCAAGATATAGTAAAGTAGGTTGGTTAAAAAAAAAAGTAAAGTGACTAATATTATCCTGATTATGAATCAAAATAAAATTAAGACAGCTGTCATAAGAAATTATTATTTATTTTATATTATATTTGATAGGAGACTATGACAACTAAACATAATAATGTTAATTATTTAGAATTGCACTAAACAATGTATTCTAGACATATATAAGTTGAATCGTCATGATAATTAACATTAAAATAGAAATTATGAAATTTTGATTGGATGATAAGTGAATCTTTTTATTTTGGTAGGGTTTAGTTATTACTTAGTTATTCATTAAGTTAATTAGATATAATTTATTTTACCCAGATAATGATTTTGTATTGACAGTTTATATGTTTGTGTCTGTTTGTACTCTCACTAAATGATACTTATCTATCAAAGATCAACTTCTGTTTATAAAACTATCATGAAAAGATTTAACTATTACTGATATGAAATTTAACTTCAGTGTTAAAAAAAACACAATGTAAGCTGCTCTTTATTGAAGCAGACCAATTCGTTCTCATCAATGTTCGAAACTAAAAGGATTTCATAAAATTGAAATCAGTCAAAATATTCACTGATTATTATTGGTCTGGATCATGTAGAAAGAGGATATAAACTGATTAAAGTTTACAAGAGAATCGTAATACATGACCGAAGATTTCAAGTTATGCAGATTTACTCGTAGATTTCCTACCATTTTTCGAGTTAACGTCCTGTTTCATTCTGTGAGTTTATTATTTAGGCCAATTGAACCGACGCATGTTTGTACCATAGCCTAAGTTTTTTACGACTGTCATTAAATTGACAGATTTTAGGCGTCTTTCGGGTATAGGCATTTAAGAAATTATGAATCATTAAGAAAGCAGGACTAATTTAATCCAACTCAAATCAGTCGGCAGAAATGCTCATTGGTGTTAAGAGTAGGTGCGAAAAAATGTCCAGAACCATATATGTATTTAGAATTTATAAAATAACTCATATCGTTTCAATGTATCTAGCAGTATTCATTGATGGTAGATTTTTTATTTGTTTTTCTAGGAAAACATTGTGAAATTAATATATTCGACTGTTTCAATCAACCTTGCGGATCCTACGGAATCTGTAGAGATGAAATTAATGGTTATCATTGTGAATGTTTAAAAGGATGGGAAGGATTACATTGTGATAAAAAATCATTGTCAACAAAACTGGTTACATATGAAAAAAATACTGGATCTAATTCAATGTTGATGTTGATGAACAGTAATTCACAAGAAATTCACTTCAACCTTAGCAGATTATGTCCTAAAAACTATTATTGTGCTAACTCAGCTCTTTGCATTTTCACTAATGATGATACATCTTCATTTATGTTGAATAATTTGAACATTGCAAGTGAATATAAATGTCTTTGTGAGACAGCAATTGGTCGATTCGAAGGTATGACGATTTCATTTATATAATATTGTATAAATATATCTTTATTGACAGTTCAATGCTTTAATATACATTTTAAATTAAAAAGGAAAATATATTAACCTCGCTTTTTCTGAAGGCATAATAAAAAATATGATTACTGGAAGTTTTCAATAAAAAGCTTACCTCTATCAATTGTAACTCAAATTACATTCTTAATTGTTACATAATCATGTTAAATAAACGTTTCACTTTAGTTTTAAAATTTTCAAACACTCTTCTCACTCTATTTATTCCATAGTTTTAAACACCATGTATAAATCTATCATTAAAAGAATGTTATAGTTAAGCCTATGGAATAAAATTTCATCATAACTACTTGCCATAAACCTTATCGCCCTTGTCTACACTACTTATAATTGCGTTTCGAAGATGGTGAACATAACTCAACACACATTTATTCCTATACACACACACAGATACGCAGAGCTAATTCATTGCAGAAGAAATTTTCTACAAATGACCCTATTTGTCTTGTCAAGATTTAATCCGAGAAGATAAAAAATATTATTCATTGAATATGATAATAGTCATTAATCATTTGTCAAGGTGTTAATTTTTCTTATAAAAAAAGAAAGTTTTCTTAAAGAGAGCAAGAACAAAGATTGGTGCAGAATAATATGAATTCATTTTATTTCGTTAGGTTCTCATCAGCTGCTTACAACCTAAAATATTTGAAATTCAAAATTATTACAAATATTGACATACTTATACATAAGAGAGTGATTAAAGATGAATAAGTGTCTCATGGTGTAGCGAAGATTCCGATAGGGTTAATGAGGTCATAAAATTTTGTCTCGAATAAATAGAGTTTGAGAGGGAAAGTTCCGGGACATTGAAATAGTGATTAGAACTCATGAAAACAGATTATTGATAGTAACGAAAATGTGAATTGAAATCAGTCATCATGTATGATGTAATTTAAACTTCAGAAGGGGGGTTATTGTTACCAGGGTAAAGAAAGATTTATTACTATCTCTTTTTGTATACATAGGTCTGGTTTTAGACGTTTGATTGCTAATGCTTCGGCAAATTTCAAGAGGTTGGAGTTTGATTGTTTGTTAATCACCTTGAAGGACTTCAGTATGTCAACTTCATATCCTGTGTCAAGGAGATGTCTTGCGATGACACTGGTGGATGCTTTTAATCCATTTAGTCTTACACTTTTCGGAATATGTTCTTTGAATCGGACGTAGGCTATGTGTATGAAAGTAGTTTTCATTATTTATTCGATAGTTTTCTCATTGTAAAATTTTATTTCAGTATAAATAATGAAATTTGTGTAGTAATGATAAGATGTTACAAATGTTTGTTATTTATAATAGTAAAACAGTGCAAACAAGATCATCAGAGTTGAATGGCGGCTAGCAATGGAATCCCGGACACGCGTTTCATCCTGTTTGGTACTAGTTAGAATGACGTACCCGCATCCCAGCGTTGATGTGCATATGTGCATTCTGTGTAATCTGCACAGACTAATCTGTGCCAAACTTTATCTCAGTTAAGCGATGTTTTCACCAGTTCAACTTTAATTGGAGAAGATTTGTCTATGGAAACCACAACTAGTGTATAATCGGATGGAAAATTTCGCCAAACTATATTATGAACATTTATTCTATTGAAAAATTCCATAAGAAGAATAGTCTCGAATCTATACAAACAGTATACTTCCGGTGTACCAGTGAAACGTTTTACTATCACTAAATCGTCCTAGATAGGAAAATTATTTGAAATTATTTGGGAAAACTATTAAAAATCAGAAAGTATCTGACTTAATGTCTCATGTTTTTATTATGAGACTTCTGATAGATCTCCACTATCAGATCTCTTACAAGAAAGATTGTAAAAATCGTTGAACAATTGATTTAAACATTTAAAATGTATTGATATGACCTTCTACTCATTTCAGTTTACCCTGCCGAGTATTACGGTCAGCTTCCACGTATATATGGTTCGATTCTGAGTCAATTACTCATGACCTTGCGTAGTTGATAAATAATTATATCATTTCAGGAATGGATTAGTTGAGTTTTATTACAAATCATTACATTTTCTAACTGATTACACTTTAGTACATTTGGAATGTGGCTAAAAACGGATTCCAGAAATCCATACATTTCGTCCTATTTATGACTCTTCGATCTCACATTTATTAACTAAATGCATTCTTATTATTGAATTAAATTAATAAATGTATCTCTTATTCTTTCTTTTCTGATCTGGAGGTAATTATTGTGACATTGACGTGAATGAATGTTTCGAGTCTGAAGAAAAACAGTCATCATTATGTCAAAATGGTGGACAATGTATAAATACCTATGGATCGTATATATGTAGTTGTACAACAGAGTATTATGGTAAACATTGCGAATATTCATTTAATCCATGTAACTTTGACAATACATCAATCTGTTTCAATGGAGGGATATGCTTACCATCATCAGATGGTATAGGCACGTTATGTGTTTGCCCAAAAGGATTTACTGGACCTCAATGTAGAGTAAGTTCCTTCTGGTGTAGTGAACCTATTTTTACAAATATTATTGACTAATGATTTCATTTGCAGTACCCCAACTGAGACTGATCTACGACGAATACAATATATAGACTAAATCAATCTTCATAAAACCTCTTGAACTACATAAACTATAACAGTAAGATCACTAGTGAATTGATTCAAGTTGTTCCGTATGTTCTAGTGAGAAGTAACAAAAGGAGTCCAGGTATTTTGTGAGGGAAAAAAGTTATCATTTTCATATTATACTGCAAATTGATTAAAGTGAAAATTTTATCATAAGACTCTAACTCGACAATTCTAATGGTTGAGCGTTCAAAACGAGACCTTAATATATTGAGTTCGATTGCTGAATTGTTTGTGGATATGCACTACTGATGAGTCTCATAGTAAGACGAAACAGCCATCCAGTTCTCTCTAGTCTTCATTGGTACTCTGACGGATACCAGTCTGTGATAAATAAAATTTACAATTTGAAATAGTTTTTAATTGTAAAGAATCATTTGTTAGAAGATATACAATTATCAAAAAACCAGGTTTATGTTCATTTATTCTTGATATCATTTTTGTATTCACAGTTGAATATGACCATTCTCTCTTTCGATATATTTAAGCTAAACCTTCGTAAATTATGTAATAATATTTTAAAACAGTCCAAAATATGCACTTTTTTATACTTACGTAAATAAAGAACAAACACCAAAATCTATCATTAATTGATCATTTTAGGTATGAGTTCCAGGGATCCACTATGTTTTAGTTCAACCAAATTTCTGTCCGCATGATTCATTACATTATCATACGGTTTATTAGAACCATAGCTAGTTTTCTTGATAGTAATTTAATAGTTGAATTCGTTAGTCTATTAAAGCTAGACCACCATGAAAAACCTGGAAGCACTGAACTGCCGTTTCGTCCCAGTGTGGGAATCCTCAGCAGTACGCATCCATGATTCCGCCTCGCGAATCCCGAACCCAGGACTTTCGATCTCGCGCGCGAACGCTTAACCACTAGACTACTAAGCCTGCATCTAACGGTGTTAATATCTAACTCCAATCAACCCTCGAAATCGCGCCACCGTTCTTGATAGATTAAATTTCCTTGAGTTTGTAAAATTTACAACTGATTGTAGAAGGTTTTAAAACTGCTATGAATCTTTGATGAACTATGAAAACCTCTAAAAATCACTGATTGCATCAAACTAAAGCTTCTTCTCTTCTCAGTTTTATAGACGACAAAGTGTATTGGTTTTAGTTGTCAGTTTGTTGGAATTGAATTAAAATTTAATTGTTTAGATTGTTCCAAATATAGTTTTGTATCCGATAAGTTAAGTAGATTTTATTTAATGGTAATCATGATCATATTAGTATTGTTATGAAATTTTTCTATTGTACACAAATTCCTAGAACAAATACTTAACCATAGTATACTGTTATCAATCGTTCACTGATGACATCTCTGGTAGGACTAGATAAAATGCATGAACATGCTTTAATTCAGTGTGATATTTGTTCAGTATAAAATTCTTTTATACTAATCTATTATTATATCAGGTTATTGTGTTATTTAGTATTTGTTTGTATCGATTTAACTTAACGTTTGATCTACATAACATTCAGTTGATTAATTCGATTGCATTCTCGCCATTTCAGTAATATATGATGTTCATTGACTAATCATCAAAAGTCAGTATAATTTGTATATAGATAAATGTATTTAGTTTGCAATTTATTGTCATGTTTACGAAAGGTGAATAAAAATTGCATCCGTTATTTGAATTTTCGCATTGTGCAAATCTCAGTTTCCTCATCTGTTCTTGATTCAGTTTCAGCTGCTAAAGCAACACCCAATTTAAAACAGATTATGACCGCTGTACTACATGGTGTGATTGTTATAATGAACATTTAATTGATTTTTATCACTCGCTGATGCTATCATTTTTAGAATTATTGCAACTCATAAACTATTGGACAGATATGCCTGTTCAACGTAAATATTTCCCCTAAAAATAATCTGAATCATTAGGGCAAAAAGCTTTTTCTTTAAATTTCTGCGGAATTCGACTCTATCTATCCAAAGTTTATTGCTTTGGTACGTTCCATTCTTTTTTAAGAGCTTTTCATCTGTACGTGCATTCATTAAGCTGGAATTCAATAGCCCATATTCAATTAACTGGTGTCATAAAATGTCACTTATCGATTCTGTTATAGTAAACCAGCTCCAATTTGTCAGTTCTTATTGAAACCCACCTCAAAATACATTTTAAACTTGACCATATTGAATGCAGTTTCTGTTGATCAAGTAAGGCTTTGTAATTTTCCTCCGCAAATATTCACAATTGCTGATAACATACCAAATTTAGCAAATCTTATAACACGACAATATATCGAGGAAACCCACCTAGGATTCACATATAACAATAGAACTTAACAAGTTGTAGTCCAAAACATGAACAATGGGAAATTAAAAGCCCTTACCAATGCTTTAATACATATTTTTTGAGTTAGTGGGTATCTGGAATCACTAGCTCAGTGGGTAACGTTTGTCACCTCAAACGAAAGGTATCGGGTTCTATTGTCCGTTTTGAACATCAAGCCTGGAATCTGAATGCATCCAGTTAACTAGTCCCAAACAGGAAGATACGCCTATCCTGGATTCCTCTGATCGTCATATATTTAATACTATAACCATTTCTTATAATATTTACCTTTGAATTATCTTCAACTTTCCTCTACTTCTTTCTTCGTGTATTAGGAACAGATAAATGAGTGTACTGGTCACCATTCATGTGTAAATGATGGAATATGTTTAGATTTGGTTGGAAAGTATCATTGTTTATGTCCAATTGGTACATATGGAATGAATTGTGAATTCACTTCTAAACAAATTTGTACTAATCAATCGTGTAGTGATAATGTAAACGTAAGAAACTGTACAACAAATGTAAGTTGTTTGTATACAAATTATATATAAAATCGACTATACGTAAATCTGTATATTTATTTATATATTGGAGCTTTTCTATATATTTAAAATTTCAAAATTAATTACCATCGGTAAGCGCCTGGTATTCGATTGAATAATTATGGAGACTAACAGTAGTTACCAGTATGACTGTTTGAATAATAGGAAAATTATTTTGATCATTTTTTTCTCAGTTTGACTAAATTGAGTTAACGTAAAGATAACTAACGAGTAAGAACGTCAATACACTCTGAAGGATTCAGTTTATTTGCCTCAATTCAATTGACTCACACTGAAGAAGAGTGAGAAGACAGTTTATTGTACGCCTCTTGCATTTGAGTTAGTTCTACGGTTTGACCAAAAACATTAAAAGTATGCGATAATTAGACCAACGGGAGCCTGGTGGTTATCCATACATCGATCACAGAGTAACATTCACTGAATGACGTTTTCAAAAAATATGGAAGCACTGAACAGTTATTTCACGCTAATTTATGACGCTTCAGTACAGTACAGCCACGATTCCATATTGAGCCGAATCTAGGATAATTAGATCTTTCGGAAACTATGATGTTATATAATCACTGTGGTTAAATTCACTGACGGAAATGATCTAGTCAATTCGTGATGTATCGCAACCAGAAAAAAGTTGACGATGGTTATTAAGCCTTATTTTTGGTCCTTACTACTTAGTTGCATTTATGATAATTGAAAATTTTTCCGCTTAGGTGGATGTTTTAAGGAGTATTGTATTCGCTGATTTTGATGGTTTAATTACAGAGCTTTTATTGTCGTTCTGAACAAAGCAATTATAGCTTACTTCATGTAGAAATCTGGCTCAATAAATAGAATAGAATAGAATGATGTAGTGAATTAGATCAATTCATGAAAATAGTTTTGAGTTTTTATTTTCACAGATCATGAAAATTCATCTTAATTAATAATAATTATTTTACATAAAACTTTGAATTGTTTACGTAAATTAGTTAGATTTTCATACCCTATATAGCGGTGATGCATTCGGATCATTATATTATTTCTATCGAACTCCAAATGCTTATATTTCGAATGATATTTGGAAGATAATTATATATATATATATATATATATATATATATATATATATATATATATATATATATATATATATGTATAAGCAACAAAATGTCAAATTTAATGTGAACGGATAAATAAAACAAGAATTGGATAATCAGTCTATCGTCTACATGTTTGTTTATAGAATTCTTCTTAGGAACTGAATCAATTTCTCTTTACGGATTTATTCATTTTTATTGTTTTTCAACTGTTAAGTAAATACACTTTTGTAGGTTGTATTCGTCACAGACTGATGTCAGTTGCGTCTAGCTTCGAGATATGAAGCTTTTGAGGCCTATTCCTGATGAGTTCATGGGTGCGCACCGCTGGGGAGGTATTTACTACCTGGTTTTTAATGGTATCTCTGCTGAGATTAATCTGTGAAGAGTACATAGGACAAATTAAACTAATCTCCACAAACTTCCGTTCAGTTATACATACATCTTTTGGAAAATTTACTCGGTACGATAAATACCATTACTCTGTGGTTTTCTCCCTGAAAAATAATACAAATTAAAGAAGGATTTCTAGACACGGGAGGAGTGTTTTTCACTCTAAGTATTGAAACAAAGTCTGAAAAGTAATTAGAGTTGCACAACTGATTTTTTCTCTACTTAGCATCCGTTTCAGAAGTGCAATTTGAGTTTTGTTATCCGTGTGAGATATAACGAGTGGAATGGTAGCATCATTATTAGTTTTTGTGACTGTAACTTTTATTCTCGATCACAGTATTTGACAATTAACTCATAATCATACGTATCTTAGTCTGTGATATTTTCATCTACAAGTTATTTTAACTATGTAATCCAAAAACATAATATTTCAATCTTAAACAGTATTTCTGTAATTCAACATATTTCATGCAGTTAGTTCCCTTCATAATCAAAGCATATTGGAAGCAGTAATGTTTGTAGAATCAAATGAATTGATTAGGTTTTTTTTCTGTTTGCCTATATATAACCCATAAGTTTGGTCAATCTTGGAGCTTGTAATATTTATTAGCACGCTTGGGAATTGAGAGGCAACATTCTTCGATCACTTAGTGTTAGAAGCCGATGTTATCTTTATCTAGTCTATTTAGCTTTAACTGATATCTATCAGCCATATTTCAGTATGATCCCACCGGTCCAGGTAATTCGACCTCCAGATGGACTGCGTTTTAAAAGGTCACTGATCGTGGTTCGAACAACTCAGTGATAACACTGAAGATTGTGACACTGGTTGGTTAGGATTAGAATCCCAATAAATACATCACTTCCCTTAGGGTTACAGGCACGGTGTGTTGAATAGTGCCACCTAGTATGAAATCAATATTTTCTGTTTCCCGCCTACTACTTCTCACCATTTAACATTAATAAATAAATTTCCCAACGTGGAAGAATGAAGCTGAAATTGCAGTATAGTTTGTGTGAATGAGTTTTGAGAAAAAAAAATTAGATAGTAGATTATTTTTGCCTTATATTAACAATAATAATATATTCTGAAAATAACAATTACAGAATTTAAGCCGGTTTACAGGCATGATAAGTTGATATAAATAGTAACAGTAAATGTAGAGAAAAAACATGTGATACAAGATTGTTTTAAGTTTACTAGTTCAAAAATTTTTAGGTAGTACATTTATGACATACATTACAGTAACGCAATGCATCAGTCGGGGACTTTTAATTCTTCTTAAGTGAACATCCTGTTGATTTATGAACAGTGCATTTGAGGTCATTTACTGTGCCATAACGAATTAATTATAATTAACCACAACTAGAGAAAGTAAAATGGAGCACCGAACAACAATATAATAATTACTAAAATATGTCAATCAGGTCTACCATAATACATGTGTCACGTGACTCAGTGATATACCGTTCATGTTAGATATTATTCAAATTAATTAAGGTTATCAGAAACGGTGTTAACGTAAAGTAACAGCAGGTAGGTGGTTTACTTAGTGAATCCAGTAACAAGTATGGCTAAACATTTAAAGTTCCTATAATCTCACTTGTGGAATAAGATAGAACATTTAATGCATCTTCAGAGGAGCAGTATGCATCAATGAAGCGAAGAAAGAATTGGAGTAGTTTTATCTTGCGGACAGATTGCGATAGATTGTTCCAAAGTCTGGAAATTTTACAGGTAAAGTAATTGATATAGAGAGATGATTTAGAATGGGTTTGTTTCACTAGTGACAAGGAATTACGGATGTCGAAATTAGAAGTTTCTGTATATTGAATTACTTGACTAGAGGTAAAGGATATTTTACTAAGTAGTTTGAAGAAAAAGATAAGATTTAGTTTGAGTCTCCTCTTCCATAAAGTGTCGAGCCCACGTTTATTACACCTGGAATTATAAGTCGAGGTACAATTAGTTCCAAGAATACGAAGTGTAGGTCGTCTCTGTACTTATTTTAACCTTAATTTATCCTTTATGCTCGCACTGCTAAGAATAAACGTGCAGTATTCTAGGAGTGGTCGAACACAAACTTTGTAAGTCAAAATGTGTGGCTGATTGTTATAAAGGTTTCGAGTTATGCAACCTATAAGACGTTGAGACATGGAAGTCTGTTTCAATACTTGTTTCGTAAACGAGGAATCGTAGGAATACTTAATTCCTAAGTTTACTACTGTGTGTAACTTAGATAAAACCTCACTATTTATGATAAAATCTAAGTTGAGTGATGTATTACGAAAGCATATCCATCCACATTTAGCCGCGCTAAGCTCCAGCTGACATTTTGAGCACCGCTGCGCTACTTACTTAAGCACCATGCTGATGCAATTTCGCATATTTTTCAGCTCATGTGGAGAAAATGAATGCACTACTTTAAGATTATCAGCATACAGAAGGGGCTTGCCCACACAAAAAGATCCACAACTATCATTGATAAAAACTAAAAAGAGGAAAGGGACTAAGACACTACTTTGTATTACACCACTTCTAACAGTGACAGTGTTTGAAAATGAAGAGTTAATGTTAACTATTTGGTGTCGGTTGCTGAGACAGGAATCAAGCCAAGCAAGCAAAGGGTTTTGGACCCTGTAAGATGAGAGTTTATCTATAAGACGTTGGTGGTTAGTCATGTCGAAGGCTTTAGAAATGTCCAAGTATATCACTAAGGCTAGATATCCTTGGTTACGTTGAGTATAGACTAAATCAAAGAAGTCACATTGGCGTGTCGTACAAGGTCGATTTTTAAGAAATCCATGTTGAGTATCATTGGTAAATTTTTCAGCGAGTAAACAGTTGGAGAGTTCGTTACTAATAATTTTTTCCATAATCCTAGAGATAACTGGGGTAATATTTATGTGCCGATAATTGGTCATGACAGTCTTATCTCCCGATTTGTAACGTGGTATGATGTACGTGCTTTTCCAACAGTAAGGGTAAGTACCTGATTCCATAGAGAGAAGAAGTGGAATATCTGATCCACCATATCTGTAGTGAAAGGATGAAATCCCATCTACTCCATGACCCCTCGAAACCTTAATGGTATTTATAGCCTTACTAATTTCCAAGCATGTGAAGGAGATAGATTTTATTAAGTTACTAGTCACACACATAACTCTTCAAACAGTGCCGTTAATGAATTCTTTCCTATTCGCGATAATACTGTAGTGAACAGAACACGGGTGGGGACAATCGAATTTATTTGACATGAAATTACAGGACTTGTTAATAAAATCTAACGATCAAATAGTAAATACGTAATTTGTAAAATGTCCGTCAATTGTTTCAAAATGACTCAGACTTCATTGTTCTTGCTTACTTACTTACTTACTTACTTACTTACGCCTGTTACTCCTCGTGAAGGAGCATAGGCCACTCACCAGCATTCTCCATCCAACCCTGTCCTGGGCAATCCTTTCCAGCTCCGTCCAGTTGTAATTCATCGTTTTCATATCTGCTTCTATTATCCGACGCAATGTGTTCTTTGGCCTTCCTCTTTTTCGCTTCCCTTCAGGGTTCCAAGTTAGGGCTTGCCTCGTGATGCAGTTTGACGGTTTGCGTAATGTATGTCCTATCCATTTCCATCGTCTTTTCCTAATTTCCTCTTCAGCTGGAAGTTGCTTTGTTCTCTCCCACAGAAGGCTATTGCTGATGGTATCCGGCCAGTGGATGTTGAGTATCTTGCGTAGGCAGCTATTTATAAATACTTGTACTTTCTTGATGGTGGTTGTTGTAGTTCTCCAAGTTTCAGCTCCATACAGTAGAACTGCCTTGACGTTCGTATTGAAGATTCTCACTTTGATATTGGTTGAAAGTTGTTTTGAGTTCCATATGTTCTTTAATTGTAGGAATGCGACCCTTGCTTTGCCGATCCTCGCCTTTACGTCTGCATCTGAACCTCCTTGTTCATCGATGATGCTTCCTAGGTATGTGAAGGACTCTACATCTTCCAGAGTTTCGCCATCAAGAGTGATTGGATTGCTGTTCTCCGCTTTGAATTTGAGGACCTTGGTTTTCCCTTTGTGTATGCTGAGGCCTACTGATGCAGAGACTGCTGCTACACTGGCTGTCTTCATCTGCATCTGTTCGTGTGTACGTGATAGGAGGGCTAGGTCATCTGCGAAGTCCAAATCGTCTAATTGATTCTGAGTTGTCCATTGTATCCCATGTTTTCTTTCAGATGTCGAGGTCTTCATAATCCAGTCGACCACCAGAAGAAAGAGGAAGGGAGAGAGTAAACAGCCTTGTCTGACTCCAGTCCTTACTTGGAATGCATCTGTCAGCTGTCCTCCATGCACTACTTTGCACTGTAGTCCGTCGTATGAGTTCCGGATAATGTTGACAATCTTCTCAGGAACTCCGTAGTGTCGAAGAAGTTTCCATAATGTCCTCCTATCTACACTGTCGAATGCCTTTTCATAATCAATGAAGTTGATGTATAGTGATGAGTTCCACTCCACTGATTGTTCGACGATGATCCGTAATGTTGCAATTTGGTTCTTGCATTTGTTCTTGCATTTTCATACAAATCGCATTCTGTTTCCATTCTTTACTGTTCGATCCTCTTGTCTCTCTGCTACCAAACATTCCGCTCACGACTAACATCATATACTGCTTATGTCTATATAAGTAGCACACCACATTTTCACCGAAAAGGTATGCTATAGTTTTATGCAGGATGCATGGTATATCAACATTTTGATTTGCTTTAACGCGTTTATTGAAAAGGAGAATTAAGTTTTGTACTTTTGAGCTAGTATTACGTGCTAACAGCTCCTCATTAATGGCTTTTAACCTGTGCTTCTCTTTAATTTGATTAAAAATTCTTGTTATTTGTGCAACTGCCGTGAAGTCATTTGACTTAAAATAACGTTTTTGCGGGCATCTTACTTCATTACGATATTTAGCTGGCACATATAATTCTATTAATCAAATTTCATTGATCGGGTTGCAATATGGCCGTTAGTCTTGGTGGCTCAAGATCTCACGCACTATACTGAGATATTAGTAGTAGTAGATAGTTGACAGATAAGCTCCGGACCTAGGTTTCGTGCTATTTGACACTTTCTAGAAAGGCGTGTCTATAATTTTGTGAGAATTGATGCTCAATATGGGATTTAAGTCCAAGTTACCATTGGGCTATTTGGGCTGAGACTAACCTTCTTTAGAATATTTACAAGTGATTGATCACTAAGTAGTGGCCTGTGCAATGTTCTTCAAATACTGATTGAATCGCGTCGATCAAAAGTTTTGATTAGTTTGGTATATATATAAGTAAATTCTACAATGAGTTATGTCAGTAATTTTTATTTATTCAAATTAATAATGAGCATATTTCATCGAAATTCATCACACTCACGTTAAGTAGAAATTTTCTTAGTTTGTTATCTACAATAATTGACAATGTAAGTTTTGTGTAGTAATAATTAGAGTTACCTATTTTTTAAACAGTTAACTTTGCAGTTTAAAATGAATACAGGATAACAATTTTTTGAAAATAAAAGCTTTTTTCGTACATTCATTTATTTATAGCTTTGTTTAAATGGAGGCTCGTGTATAAATTATTATACTACCAACAACGGCAGTGTCCAAAGAGATAACCAACACCACAAATATCTTCGTATTCTTGAACAGAACAATTTTTTGGAATCGCAATTACCTCATTGTTCTTGCCCATTCGGTTATATTGGTGAATATTGTCAGATAGAATTAGATTTTTGTCAACTTTTTCATCATATTAAACACTACTTCTTTAATTATTTTAAACAACTTAAAGAAATTGAAGATTATTTTCGCAAAAATGTAACCATTTCAAGTTATCATATCAATGATTGGTTAATTTCATCGTCCTTATCATCACTATATCATACATGGTATGAGATAAACTTGTTATATTCTACATTCGTAATAAATTATACATATTCTCGGTTACTGAATGACACTCATATAAGAAAGATTTTATCAACAGGAAATTTATTCATAAACGATTCTCTCGTAGACAGAAAAAGCACTCTATCTGATTCAACTTTATTTATGATAGCTTCACCAATGGGTTTATGTGATCCTATTGGAAGTTCTCAATGTGTTCCATTATTATCTTCTGTGAGTGATGGTTTACGAAGTGATAGTGGTGGGTTTACATGCATCTGTCATGTAGATTATGAAGGTAGATATTGTGAGAAATATGTTGACTTTTGTGATAAAATGAACAAACAATACAATGGGGTAAGATAACCATTTTTAAAATAAAAAATTTGCTTCCGTTTTTTATCTTGTACAAATGTGTACATGTACATTATTCTTAAACAATGTGAGTTTTATATTAAAAAGGAATAAATTTAACGTTATGCATGTAAGGGAGTGAGCTTTCCTGTTGTTATTATCGTGGGCTAAAGTTTAGCAATCTTTGTGGAGATATGAGTATACCTAGTGGTTTGCTTTTAAATAGACGTGTAGTGACATATTTCATTATATTAAGATTGTGTCTAGCAATGGAACATACCAAAACGTGTTACTAAAAGGCTGTATCGGAACAGTCTGTTCATAATGCATACATCTCAGTGGAAAGTGATTAGTTTCAGTCTTCAGTGTTAGCAACGGGAGATTACAAACTCATAGGCAAACTCATTATTAATGGATTGTTAAATTTATTACAGCCATTTAGTATTGTAATCATTAGTTTTTATCAGAAGGGGTTTGTGGAGATTTTTAGAAATTTTCACAGATTGAAATCATGAGTCAGTTGAAGCTGGACCACCATTGAAAACCTGGAAGCACTGGACGGCCGTTTCGTTCTAGTATGGGACTCCTCAGCAGTGCGCATCCACGATCCCGCACCACGCGGGGCTCTAACCCAGGACCTTCTGGCTTCGCGCGCGAGCACTTGACCATTAGACCACTGAGCCGGCATGATTTCAATCTGTGAAAATTTCTAAAAATCTCCACAAACCCCTTCTGATAATAATCATCTGCTCACTAGTGACTGACTTCAAGAGATACTCCTGGAGTTCTAGTGGGAAGCCGTTAGCAGTGGAGTGCAACCAGGTCTGTTGTGAGATATCAGCTCACTGAAGACAATGGTATATGGTGGCGCAACTTCGTGGATTGGTTGAAGTTAGACACTAACACCGTTGAAAGCCGGCTCAGTGGTCTAGTGGTTAGGTGCTCGCGCGCGAAGCCAGTAAGTCCTGGGTTCGAGCCCCGCGTGGTGCAGGGTCGTGAATGCGCACTGCTGAGGAGTCCCATTTCAGAACGAAACGGCCGTCCAGTGCTTCCAGGTTTTCAATGGTGGTCTAGCTTCAACTGACTCATGATTTCAATCATTAGTTTTTAGACGATAGAAATACTTACCGTTTGATGAACTTCGTAACCCACTGGTTGTCATAAAAGACCTCTAGTCATTCGAATTTAATTTCCACACAATTAACATGTGTAATGTTACTAAAGGGTTACAGATTTCTTAAGATAATAAGGATATTTTACAGCTTGTGCTGTGTATTCTACTCATGTCGAGAGATACAAACGGTATGTAACACCAATCAGAAATGGAAACCCTATCTGCAGAAGGCTAAGAAGATCGAGTTGAAGAGAATGGAAGTGAAAATAAGAGGGAATTATGAACTGGAAGAATCATACAAAGTGTGAAGGACAAGTGATGGAAATTCGCAAATGAGGTATTCATTGTATGGTTCTCAGATTTCAATACGAAATTACAGAATATATTGGTAAACCATAAGGATCATGCACTGATTACTTCATGTCTCTCGACATAAGTAGCATACACCACACTTGGATTAAAGTAAACAGAACGCTTTGGTAATAATGATAATTATAATTATTTTTAGGATTGTAAATACGCGTTACTTGTCACTGGGCTAAAAATAAATTCAATTAAATAATTAGATCTCGTGACATTGTGATTAAGATAGATGGATACGAGATGACGGCAACTGTGTGACTTCAATGTATTCATGACACAGACTTTCTCCCTTTTTATTCGTCATCCCTGATATATATAAGGTCATTTGAAATCTAAATAATTGAATTGTATCTATAAATGTGACACTAGATGTCTCGGATTTGAATCCAACCGGAAGCATGATTTCCTTTAAGTGGGTAGATATCTTTGCCTAACAAGTGCCTTTTAACATGACACCTATGTTTAGAATTACCTAGTGACTGCTTCCAATCACGTAGTATGATATGGTTACGTGACCTAAGTGTTCGTATTTTCCCGTTGTTAATACTAAATACTTTCTAAATCTAGGATGAATTTGTAAGTACTGTCGATACTGAGGTTTTATCTGTTTCATGAGGAGTCTCATGTTATCGATAAAGACTGATCAGATTCACCGTTAAATATTAACAAAAGCCTGATATAATTAAACCTTTACAAACCATATGGAAAATAAACATATTTTACTATTCTGTTGAGAGATTACTTTAATTGTTAGATTCCAGTTTTGTTATAATTCATCAGTGATGATCAGTGTTTTTTCACTGTTTTTTTCTGTTGAAAAATATAGAATTATTGCTTAAATGGAGGTTGGTGTGAAAATCAAATCAAACAAATCACACCAAACTATAATAGTGATCATAATAATTATAACAATGCACATCGTCATCGAATATTCCCTATTTGCCACTGTCCATCAGGTTTTGGTGGAGAAAGATGTGAAGTTTATCATGAATTATGCAGTCATTCACCATGTCTTCATGGTGGTATATGTCATCCGACTAAACAACAAGTATCACAGTTACAACTAAAAGAAATTAAATTTAGTCCCACAGTTTCTGGAAATAATTCTTCATCTTACTTTATTCCACCGTACAGATGTGAATGCTTATTTGGTTGGTCTGGAATACACTGTGAAGTTAGTACTGGATTATATTGTGATGTATCGAGATTATGTATGGATTATACAAATTGTAATGATTCTTTGACATTTAATTGTCCATGTACAAAACCAGGTACATTATTGATGGATAATATAAGCTGAAAATTTTCGCTTAAAGATCATTATATATTTTTTGCTTATGTTTATTAGTTTTAGATTTGATGTCTGTCGAACAACGGTAAATCATCATCAGTACTGACTCTTTTCCTAATTTGACGTATTTTTTTGGATGTAGTTATAACCGTTGGCAGTGAAAACGCATATTAAATCAATTTAGTTCATATTATAGAAAAAAACTACACTGTTACTTGTGTCTGTTTCGATATATCAACTACAGTCGAGCATTTCACATTTAAAGCTACGTTTATTGATTATCATAACGATTTATAGTGAATTGTTCGACTTTCAAGCATAAGAACTATAAAACTCTCGTCTAGAGTTTTATGTACATGCTTCTGAGGATCTCTGGACCCTCAACAACTATAACCTTCAACAGCTACCCAATGTTCCCTGATTTCTGATTGGTATTTTAGCCGATGTTAATTCATGATAACAACTGTATTTATAAACGTTACTATCAAGCGCATTTAGCAATAGTTCTGAAACATTTTACAGTCCAGTGGTTTTTGAAGGTTTGTAATTCGTTCAAAACTATTCAAAGATCCTTCTGTTTTTTTCGTTTGAAGTAACATACGAGTGATTTATTTTTGGATTTCGCTCAAAAAAACAAGGGAACATTTGTTCGATTCTGACTCACTGATACTTATATTGTAATAACAGAAATATTTAAAAAACTGACAAATCTGATTATATAAGGATTCCTTTTCATCTTATGCTTGCCAATTTTATCTTTCCACCATTTTATTTCTTCATCCTAGTTGTTTGAAAATATTTTGATTTACAACAAGAACATTTGGTCTTCCAGTCATTAGATCTATCGTTAGTAAATTAACGTTATGTTTAATTTTGAACCGATTTACGATGATATGCTATTGTAAACCTGGAGAATTACGCGAAAATATCTTCAGAAGCTGGGAGAAGTCTGTAAACATTTCGTTAAATGTGCTTGAGATAGAAACTTTCCAAAAGTTTCAGAAAAACAATGGCTTGTGTTATAATCGTACTGATAAATTACCAGATTCATCTTTCAATTCGCAGAAGCTTCCAGAATATTAAGGTCACTCAAGTCCATTCACACCCTTGTTTACCACATCTAAACTAAACTTAAAAATAAAAATTCTCTCCATACTTCACACCTTTCGTCTTTCGCTTCAGGATTTAAGTTTGGGAAACCTGTGTGGAGGTGGGAAGCAGTATCAGATGGATTAACAACCACATTAGTTTCTGTCGGCCATTGTAAATAAAATATCTGCGCCTAACCGCTATGTCTACATGGTTAATACTACTTTTTCTGCTAATAAAAAAATAACGATTTTATATTATTGAGTAGTTTGATCACCGAAAACAGTTTTCACTCTTTCTTCTGATTGATTTTAATTAGTTTTAGCAAACGCTTGTATATTTTACAGTCGTATTGATAAATTGATATATGATTCTTGATAATCACAAGTAATTTGACTTTCATCAAATTTTTGACAATTTGTAATTACTAGTTTTTATGTTCCTTCTACAGGTTATTGTGGCTTAAACTGCGACAAATATGGTACTGAATGCTTCGCGTTCACAAACGAAAGTAGTAGTATAGCTAATGAAATTACAACTGATCTGCCCATTGCTACCACTGTCTTTACTACTACCACTACTATCAGTAGTACGAATATAGTTACCTCGAATAGTATCAAGAAACATAAAACAATGAGTAGTGTTACATCATGGCCAGGTGAAGAGACTGAATTATCTTATTGTCTACGTGAAAACTGCCAATTAAAAAAACATAATGGTCGGTGTGATCGTGAATGTGATTTGATTGCTTGTGATTTTGATCATGGAGATTGTTTATATGCGTTGTCTGTACCATTGGATCCTCTATCATATATTGAACCCCTCGAAAGTAATGATATTAGTAATCATGGTGATAATAATACAACTCATTACGTGAGTTTTGTACAAGATATCCAACAACATCCAGAACCCGCCATACCATGGCGAAGTTGTTCAGTGTTAATTGAACATACTGAACATACACCATGTCATTTATTATTTGGTGATGGAAATTGCGATCCTCAATGTTTCAGAGAAGAATGTTTATTTGATGGCTGGGATTGTATACAAACAAAATTTGACGTTAATTTGACGAAAGTAGGTTCATTTTTACTAAAATTAATTATCATTATTATTCATTATTATTTCTGTAAATTGATTGTCTAATTAACTATAAATCTAGTAAGAATAAAATCTTCTGGATAACATAAGTCAATTACGGTCATTCAACTCCATAGTCTGACTTTAATTAAGCAACCACTGGTATCCAGGAAGCAGTGTACAGTTATTCGTCCTAATAAGTCACATCATAGCTATGCAAATCCATGATTTCATCAGACATCGAACACAGGGTTTTCAAGCCTGGCTGTGAGCATTTAACCTTTAAACCCTTGAGTCAGGATGTACCGCTTTATATTATAAACTTCAGTCAGTTCGCAGTATTCTGAGGCCATAATTTGTCTCCACTCTTGATATTTATCTCACACTCGAGATGGTTGAATCACATTGGTTATGGCTACTCACTAAAACTCCGGGAGTCCTCTCGCAGTTGATCACTAGTAGGTACATAATAAGGAAACAACTCAATTGTTTGTGACACTGAATAACATCATCCTTCTTATTTTACATCAAAACTTTAAGCAAAATATAATTTTCTTTTCAAAATCTAATTATCTTTTAATTGTAAAACAGTAAAACTCACATGGGCTACTCTAGACTATAACTGGTAGTCAATGTACATATTGCTAACAAATTTCACCAATGAGTTCACTGGTATCTATTTGATTTGACATTCTACCATTTTGAATCTCACTTATGTACAGTGTGATATGTTAATAATTTCTGTCTACACCTATCAATAACTAATATACTAACATAGCTACTGTTTATATTTACTTAATAATCTATTGACCACTATCCATTCATTCTCAATATGTTAACTCCATGAAGTCAAATATCTCGAGTTATTCTGTATTGTTCTCATTCTTTAACTCGTAAACTTACTTTGTTCCGTTTTTTTCACATTTTATGTAACAGAATACTAAGACAGTCATTACTTTTTGAATATTGATTTATTTTGATTGAATTGTTTAAACCCTAATAGGTTTCATGTCGAATTCATTTGAAGTGAATATAAAAATATAATAACCGGCTAAGGATAGTGCTACATCTCAAATTAAACAAAATTTGACCATGCATGAATTGTGTATCATGTGTAAATAAGAAACATATCTTTAGAAAGTATATTGCTTAATTCGATTAAATATTTACCAATGTATTGTGCAATACACACTGTGTTTGACATCGTTGACGCCTTATTCTGTTAAATAGTCGATAGTTGGTGACTTTGACGTCATTGAATGTGGTCGTTTCCCTTTTAAAATAATGATAAATGAAGAATAACTTCGTATTTCATGTGTTTGTATGTTTATAATATGTACTAAATGAGGAAAAATACAACTATTGTATATGTGAATATGTTTGTGTTATGCTGTACACCCACGCCCATCCATATACACATGTGCATACAAAGACTCAGAAATATCAGTAACCATGATGATTAGAAAGAAAAAAGCATACTGATAGAAAAACAAGAAAGAATGAAGATCAAATGAATTTTTATTATTTTATGCGTATGTATGGTTTTATGTGTGTTCGTTCGTGAGTGCCCCCTTGCTCATGTAATTGTGACATCAGCTTGGCAAATATCGTATCACAGTACATAAATAAAAAAGAATGAACAAAGACTGCTTATGCGAAAAGAAATGGAATCTTCTTAGTTTTCGAATTTGCTTGACGTAAGCAGATCGTGAATATAGATTTATATTTGTTTAATTACACGGATGTAAATAGTTATAGTTTATATATTCTTGATTTTAAGGCGGCAATACATTCGATTGATCAATATGTTTTGTGACATATCAGACAGTGTTCGTCAGGGTTATTCGCTTTCTTCACTTTTATTTAGCTTTTTCATGGACTTTCTTCTAGAGATAGCACTCACGTAGTTTAACTTTTTAGGAAGCCATCTACCAGGAGATACACTTATTAACTTAGAATACTGAGATGATATATCCCTGTTTGTTGAAGACGCTAACAAAATCCAATCTTCTTGCAGCCTTGAGAAACAACAATAAGGTGTTTGTGGTGTTAATCTCTGCTTCCAAATCAGAGAAGTTGTTTTAGGACTGGCCTGCGTCGACGCCTATATTAGTAATAAGGAGTAAAGTGGTTGATCTCGTCAACCATTCCACTTATATTGGAAGTTTGATTATGCTTGGTGGGCCAGTGTTTGGCAAAATCTCGACACAGGTTCGGAAAACTCAGTTGGCTTTTGAAAACTTACATTACCCATCTGCCAACCAGAGGGAGAGTATACTGTCCAGCAGTCCATTCTGTATTGCTATATGGTACGGCCGAGAGTGGGGAAAGTCCGCTCTCCTCCGAATGCTCTCACATGGCCACGCGTATATAGCCTCTGCCAGGGACGTCCTACTCACTGCCTTCTCGTGGCGGGGGTGTTATTTACGAAAATGAGAGGACGAAAAGCGAATGTCCATCGCTTTAACCGGATTCCAAACCAATGGTGCACATGGGCTCCAGTATCCTGCGGGAACAAATGGCGTATGCACCAATTGTTGGTCACCGGCTTCCATGGGACTGCATCTCCTTACGATGCTCCACTGCCTTGTGGATCAGACCTTCAGGTCGAAGGTTCGGGGAGTGGCCCCCTAAGATAACCACCTGCCTCGGTTCGGGCACCCGGACATTATCACAGCCCTCACACATATCGAATGAGATTTGTGTGGCGCATATGTATTTGGTGCCTCCTTGTACCAATATCTATGTGTTAAAATAAATAAATAAATAAATAAATGTAAAACATGGTCTTTGAACGGAAAAATTAGATGCTTTTTAATATTACTCACTCGTTTCATTCTATTCAGTATCGAGGCAGTTTGCTCAGGGTGCACATAAATACCTAGATCAATCAACTTCAGTCCTGTTTATCAAGAACGGGACATTACAAACTTTTATTAATGGGTTGATATAAGATCAGAGATAATAGAATTATGCCCAAAACTATATTTAATTATCACATGACTCTCTAAATTCGTATGGAATTCAAATGAGTATAAATGTGCAATGCATATCATGTAAATTTATCACAGGAAGCTTTAAACGACTAAAGCCATTCAACTCAATGAATCAGACGCCACCAAGTTATTAGTATTGTGAAATAAGCTGTAAGTTGGTTACAAGTTGTACAGCACATGTAAACCAACTGTAGAAATTTACTCGTAAGGTAGACGATAATAATGATGAATAAGATTTCAATATATCGAATTACATAATTCACTGTAAACTTGTAATAAATAACATTATTCATTTGTTGTGGATGCGCAAGAATAGACCAATAATTATCATATTAAGTCAAATGGTGTCCTTGGACTTTAAATGGACATTTCCTATTGGCCATTATTTATTTCATCCGTTAAATATTGTACAAATGTTGTTTTCTATTTTTATGGTACGATGTGGTATGTTTGGTTAGTATATAAAATAGAGTATGTTTGAAATATAATGATTCATATCTCCGAGGCTGTGACTTGTGTTCTGGACTCAACTGACTGGGCTAGACAGGGAAGTGGGACCAATCGAGACTCTAGGTCGTTCGTACGTGTTTTCCGTGTCATTGTACTGCGATCGATCAATAAATACGCTGCTTATCAAGACCTGCAGTCACATCAGTCATAACATCATTAAATAAGCATTATTTGAAAAACTATGATGATAAAAACAACTAAAGATGTCATCTTAGTTTCTAACTAAATATTCCAACTAAAACTGTAAGCAATAATTATGTGAAGTTGAACATTTCAGTTTATTTCTGACGGTGCGATATAGATAAAGAGTAGTAATTCACGTGATGACTTCATTTCTTTCAAAATAATTTAATTAAATAAATTATATATATAACAGTTCCTCAAAAATAAGCGTAATTTGTTTTATTCAAATTAAATTCAATACATAGAAAAATGATTACTTTCCCAGAAATGCTTTTTTGCATGATTCTCACCAACAGAATACCAATTAAACTTGTGTATATTTATATTCCAATTTGTTAATGCCTTACTGCATATTTATTAAGTTTAATCTTTACTTAATTATTTAAAGAAAAGTGTGTGATTAAAATTTTGCTTATATCATATATAAAATAGGTAATACTTACTTACCTACTTACACACGTTACTCCTCGTGTGGGAGCATAGGCCAACCACCAGCACTCTCCATTCAACTCTGTCCTAAGCAATCCTTGCCAGTACCTATTCATCCTTTTCATGTTTGTTTCCAATTCTCGGCTCAGTGCTTTTTTGGCCTTCCTCTTTTCCGGTTCACTTCAGGGTTTCAAGTTAGCGCTTGCCTAGTGATGCAATTTGATGATTTCCTCAATGTATGTTCTGTCCACTCCCAAAGTCTTCCTAATTTCCTACTCAATGCTCAGCTGGTTTATTCTATTTCACAGCAGGCTTTCGCTGATGGTATCCAGTCAGCTGACATTGAGTATCTTGCATAGACAATTGTTTATAAATGCTTGTGCCATTTTGGTGATGATCGTAGTACTTCTCTAAGTTTTAGCTCCGTACAGTAGGACTGTGTTGACGTTCGTATTGAAGATTGTGACTTTGATATTGGTTGACAGTTGTTTTAAGTTCCATATGTCCTTCAACTGCGTTGCCGATTCTTACTTTTATATCAGCATCGGATCCTCCTTGTTCATCGACGATGCTGACCAGATACGTGAAAGTTTTCACCTCTTCTAAAATTTCTCCTTCAAATGTGATTGGATTAATGTTGTCCGCATTGTATTTGAGGATCTTGGTTCTTCCCTTCTGTATGTTGAGGCCTACTGATGCAGGGGTTTTTGCTACATTGATTGTTTTGACTTTCATTTGTTGGTGTGTTTGGAATAGAAAAGCTAGGTCATCTACAAAATAGATGATAGACTTGATAAGAAAAAATATTTTATAAAGGTGGATTAATCAGAATTGAGAAAATTACTTTGAAGTTGTTGTTAGGAAATATAGTTATTTTTGTTATGAGCAAAGCGGATGGTGACTAGCGGTGAAATCCGGAATGAGCATTTTTCTTTTTTAGGACTTGTTTGTTATCCATATAAATCATTCATAATTTTAAAATGGATTAAATGCTCAATTTTTTAAACACAAACTTCATACAATGCATAAATCAATCAAATTTCGTTTCAGTTTACTTTATTGATAGTAAATTTATAAGAGTTTCACTTTCGTTGTGGAGAATTGGTGAAATAGGATTTTCATCAGATTTCTTATCAGACATCATATTTCCACTTACTGTAAAATATAATTTTGACTACCATATTATTTTATTGAGAGAAAGCTAGGTGCTCTTAGGTAAGACACGATATCGGTTTATGAAATCCTTGATTCTCTATTGCAGTGTATTTGACACAAAATTAGAGGATTTGTTAATAAAATCTAACAATCAAATAGTAAATACGTAATTTGTAAAATGTCCGTCAATTGTCTCAAAATGACTCAGACTTCATTGTTCTTGCATTTTCATACAAATCGCATTCTGTTTCCATTCTTTACTGTTCGATCCTCTTGTCTCACTGCTACCAAACATTCCGCTCACGACTAACATCATATACTGCTTATGTCTATATAAGTAGCACATACCACTCTGTCACTCAAAGGCGAAGAGTTTCCATTTGAGGATTTATTGGTAAAAATATCCCATACTTATCATTCCCTGATTTCATTCCAATACCTTCAGATTATGTCACTTAATTATTCATATAAACAATTTCTTATGTGACTGTACGTTGAAACGAAATGTTTATTTGGGTCTATGGAAGGCTATTTCAGCTCTTGTGTTATTCATTACTAACAAATTGACTGACCAGTTGACTATTTTTAATGTTCTTTTTCTCCTTATCTTTAAAACTTGCTAGGAAAACTGCTCCGAATCATCATGTCAAGATTATTATATTACTAAAACAATGGAATGTAACCAAAATGATGGGGATAATTGTACATTAAATGATGATCTCAAAAATATCACATTTTACATGAATTTACCTATCATAAATGACAATAATAATAATATTACGAATATGTCATCTAGTAGTAGACATTACACCAATCATATTGTACCAGGAAGCTTAGTTCTATTGATTAATTCTACTCCAGAAGAATTGATAACAATACATTCTGAAAAATTATCACTGCTGACTTTATTAAACACAATTTTACATTTAGAAGTAGAAATTGAACATCATCCAAAGACTGGTAACTTAATGATCTATCCAGTAGTGTATATTACTAATTATACAGATGACAATTATGAAAATTCGTTATTTAGAACAATACAACTGAAAAATAGTAACTTATTGACATCTGAACAAGTGAATACAAAGTCAGGTGGGATTCGTTCACGATATTCACGTCATGTGAATATGAAATCATCATTGTCGGATAAACAATTAATGTTTGATCAAAATGAACAAAAAAAGAGAATTTATCAGAAAGAAAGTATGGGAAGTCAAGTTTATTTACAGCTGAATTCAAAAAAATGCGATGAAACCGGTAAGTATGCAAAAACATTTTAGTTTGCAGATGTCTGACTTATAAAAATTAGACCATACTACTCGAACGTTTGTATTTCACTTTAGTAACTTTGAGTTTTTATCTTTACCCGCCAAAATAGCTCATACTGAGCATTTTATGGATTTTTTGTCGTATTTACAGACGCCTTTTTTTCCTATTGATTTATTACTCTTCAGTATACTAATTTTTACCCGATTGTCAAGGAAATTGTCAATACTATTGTTGCCTACTTAAACGATTATTCTTTGATCGTTTCAAATAACTCTAAAGAGAATTAATTGTTTTTTAGGTGAAAAAAACAGGTTGTATTGAGTTTGATCAGAAATCTCACAGGTTTTATACTGTATATAAATAAACAAGCCGAGTCATTTTATGTATTTGTTTTCTTGTGTGTTTGTTTAAAAATCTAGAAGAGGGAATATATGTGAATGATTTTAAAAGAGTGAAATGTAGAACATTAGAGGTTATTTCCGTGTGAGACTTCTGAAAGCAGATGGCGAGTGGACTATTAAGAATCTGCGAATATTAAACAATTATTTTTTTCCCTTTTTGAGATTTCTCATTATCAGTGGACACTCAAGATCTTTATCCAAATAACGTTTAATATGTAATGAAAATCAGTTCCTAAATAAAAAAGTTTCTCATGATGTCATTATTTAAAAATAATTTATTTTCAACTCTTTTAAGTCATTTATTTGAATCATATAAATAATGATGCATGATTTCACCACATATACACATAAACAAAACGATTTAACGTCATCCTATTAAGAGAATCAAACAAATAAACTTTGAACAGAGGTGATGGTGTCTAGCAATGGAATCCGTGACGCGCGTTACATCCTATTTGTGACTCGTCAGCTGGATATACATTCATCCCAGAGTTGATTTTCACTCCAGGAATTAAACCCAGCACCGTTCGATTCAAACAAAAATAAAATAAACTTTAACTTCCAGATTGAGATTTACAAATTTGATTTTATCTATTTGATAATTGTAGGGAGATATAAGAGTTTCATTTGCTTCTATGTTTGAATATATTATCGTGTAGTGGAATTTTAGAATTTCATTTCATTCTACTGTAAAACCCTATCATGGTTATATACTAAATAAGATTTAGTGATTGTAATCTATTCTGTATTATTATTATTTTGGATTTTATTTACAGTAGGCTAATTAACTTATTTATGAATGAATTGTATTAAGATCCTGAAATTCTTAGTGACTATATAAGATGGTTCAGTCAATTTATGAGTAATACAGATAACATGGTATATTTTTGTATTGTTTCAAGTTATCACACAGTGAGATGAAATCATCAAAACAAATGATGGAATATTAGAAGTGGTTACTGTGTCAGTATCGGTAGTAGCCATGGGGAAGATCAATGATAGACAAGAGAAAGAGAATGTATAACACGAACAAGGGACATTAGTTTACTAGCTTGCACTAGCTTACAAAATTATTCAGTTTTGTTTTTTATTAATCAAATGATTTTCATCTCTTAATACAAATGTTTATCGGTTCAAGTATTACACCTTATACCAATACAGTTAAGAAAATAAGAAGATAAACGGAAGAAATAGCATTATCTGTGATGAAGAAAGCCTAAGGATGTAAAATACAGTTGAAGAAAGAGAGAAACCAGATAGAAAAATAAAATGTTCAGTATAGCATTTTCATTAAGATTTAAAGGAAAGTATAGGATGTATAGGTTACAAAGTCTCAATTTTACACCACTGACTATGAAAATTGAATGGGTTAAAGTCAAGAAGTTTGAACATACCGATATAATCAAGATTAGAAGTCAATGATTTCATGAACTGATAATAATGTCTTGACTCATCAATTCTTAGTTTCATTCAAACCTACTCATAAGTAAATTAAGGTCACGCTGTGGACAACGTGGTTAGAATTGAGTCACTTTTTTCCTAATCACATGTTCTTTATTACTGATAATCAATCATCAAAATTATCAATTTCTAAGAATTATATACTATTAGTGAATAGTTTGTATTAGAATTTGTTGTCTTAATGATAATCTGGTAAGAAGACGTTATACAGTCATTCGCGCATTTATTCATTATTCCATCTTTTTTTATTAACTAACTAGCTGATGTTTGTTTTTTCCAATTGTAATAACTTTGTGTCTACTGACTGTTGTGTCTAATAACCAAATTAATCAGGTTTTACTATGTTTGGCATTCATTATTTAGAATACACTCAACAAGCAATAGAAAAAAAGTTGCACCAACTAACCTTTTCCTTAATTCTCTATTTCTATTCCTCTCTCTTTCACTACCTATTTTCTTTCAGGAAAGAACTCTCACTTCGTCCCTCCATTTTTACATTCCTAGTGTTGCTTCTCTTATTCTTCTTCGTCAATAATTCTGTTATTATTACCGCTATCATTGATACAACTAACACTACTACTTCTATTACTATTCTGTGTGCTTCTTAAAACTAATAAAATAGCAGCTGCCTTGTCATTCTCCGAAATCATTTATCATTTTAATTTAGTTTATGCATGGAAAAAAGGTAGAGAGGAATACCAGACGAATACACAGAGAAAACAGTAGTAGTCATCTTTTCACTATTATTATTATTTTTTTATTATTAGCCTTTAATAAGACTATGAGTCAAAAGATTCTTACAAGAATACAAACAAAAAGGTTAGAAGCAGTTGTAAAAGAGGAAGGGATCGATAACAACAGTAACAATGGTTTAAGCACACAAACACATCCGCTCATCCGCGATAACACAGACATACGCATATATGCGATACATCTTGTAAAAAAGAAACACAAAAAACTGTGGACCTGCTAATAAGTTTCTACGTTTTTGTTACTGAAATTCAGTCAGTATAGACTGTAAGTTTCTTCTGTTGTCTATACTTGCCTATTTTTGTGCAAAGATCTATGCATATGTGTGCGTGTGTGTGAAATAGAGATGACTTGCTTGTCACATGAATGCATTCCGACATGTGTGAGGTATGATACTTAAGGAATAATTTTACCATTAGTAATATTATTATACTTAGTGTAGCTAATAAAGCCAATATCATATTCAAAACCAGTTCTTTGAAATCATTTTATTATCTCTCTCCTGTATGTGATTCTAGTGTACAGCAAGTTGAATATTTGAACAAGATAAAGGTGATCAATTACTTAGTTTAATTATATGGACTGATCAAGGCTCACTTTCTCTGTCATATTTGATCAGCATGTGTTTATATTTTCTATTATTCTCAATATTACTTTTTTGGGTTTACCGATTAATATGTTGTATTTTTAGTACTTGATTCTTAATTAGTATATTTTTGTACATTCATTCAGTTGTTTAAAGATTATGCTGAACTGTAAAAGTAATTTATGAACTTTTTTATCGTTCTGCTTGATGACTATGAAATATAACGTTCGAAAATCCGGGATATTTGTAGGTTGCCAAGTATTCGGGTATTAATGTCATCGAAACATTGCTTGAGTATGCTTGAACCACCAACTAGACGATGTAAATTCATTCATCATTTTGCTTACACCTAATTTTTTCTACTACAGACAATACCCATAACACTACTAATTCTGATACTCTGATATTTTTCTTGACAATTTCATGTTGTTGTGTTAATATAGAATGGTAAATGAAACTGATGCACATATGTACCAGGTTCCACATTGTGTATGACTAATTAATGAACTATTACTGTTCATAACCGTGTGTAAAAAGAATTGTTTTTATTGGTAGTTTTCATCAAAAATATAAAGGATCATAAAAACCATAAGAATGATATGCGGTCAACACGACTGTTAATGTCCTATTTCAATAAAAATATCGGAATTGCACTATCCGTAGTGGTTTATGGTTACCCTCTTGCTATCCAAATAGTTTCTGTTTTACCTGAATTTGACAAGATTGTCTGCGCACTCGATCCTAGAAAACCACGAATAAATGAACCAGATATGGAGTTTAACTTTCGAAGATTTCTAAAATTGTTTTAAAATAGAAACGGAGATGGAAGAACTGTACTGGCACATAAAGTCGAGGAGTATTTTCAATGAGTTAAGATTGACGTAATGCAAATTTCCTTGAAGGTTATTGTAACCATAGTTCATATATTTATTGGAAAAGTTATTTAATAACTGCATCTTCTGTGATATTTAGGTAGTCTTATTTACTTCTTACCTAACAAAGTATACGACTCTTACTTCGCTGTACGCAAACTCCTTAATAGTAAATGAGTTATACTTATTTCCAAATTTTTCATAAGACATTATTAATCTAGTATGAATATTTTGAACTGATAAGTTGAATTTCCAATACCGTACAATGCTGATTTTAAAATTTTAACATAAAATTACCAGGCGATTCGAGAAGAAAACGTGAATTTGTGTAATCAAAAAATTTATAGTTATTAAGTAACTTCGGAGGAATATCATCCAAAGTATCTAACCACTGATCTCACCAAAACCAGTTAGTCGCCATCTACTTACATGGAACCATTCGACGGTCAGTGTCTTTAGGGGTTGATGTGATCTCTTTGTAAGGCTACCTGCAGCTTGCCCATAACTTATTCATACACTATTCATCATCGCGTGTTGACATAATTGATGGATGGGGATAAGTAATACATATCCTAACTAGCTAAGTCGAAGATTTGCCATCCTTACCTAGTGCCGTGATTGTAACCTCAAAGTTGCCATGTTGACGGTCTCAGCATACATGAACAATAGTGAGAAGGGATCTATTATCGATTACCAGTAACCTAAGAATATCCTTTACATTTTAAGGTCACTGCCATAAGTAGAACTGAGCGGATCGCTGCACGCTATACTCGTCCCTTAGTTGACAGATGGATGTCACACCTACACCAGGACTGACGTAAGTTGGCAAAGGTTAACCGCGTGCGCATATCAAGTTTTTGTCAGAACTAAAGGAAGTGACAAACATGACTTTGGCTACTATTCAGTATTCAATAAATT